ATACATATATTTAATTATCTTCTATTAGGCTGCCAATGGATGTCCATCTTTACAGAAAGAAAACTCTACATACAAGCATCATGAAACTGTTGAAGAGATGCAGGATGCCATCAATACAGTCATCATGAGCAGTGTTGATATGGAAATGAAGTCTTCACCATTCATTGGGGTGATACTGGATGAGAGCTCTAATATCACAGTAAAAAAAAACTTTCTATCTATGTGAGATATATAAAAATGGCATCTGCTATTGTCAGATTTGTTGCTGAAATTGATATGCCAGATGGAAAGGCTGAAACCATTCTTGACTGTCTTCTTTCAAAATTGAGGGAAAAGGGTATTGACACCTTAAAGATAATTGGGCTAGCAACAGATGGAGCTGCAGTAATGATGGGTGCAAGGGGTGGTTTAGGAGCCAGATTGTCTCAAGTGTCACCCTTTCTACTCCATACTCATTGCCTTTGCTCTTGCTGCCAATCAAACTTCAAAGGAAATAGATGCTTTCAGTGAGTTCCAGCAGCACATAAAAACCCTCTTTTTTATTTTTCTGCATCACCAGTGAGGTATAATAAACTTAGGGAGGCTTGTAAGGTCACAGATCCATTGAACAAAATGCTTTCGCTGAAAAACCCTGTAGAATTTCGGTGGTTAAGCATGCACCAGGCAGCTGAAGCAATTTCCCATGACTGGAAAGGAATCATTGCTACATTAGAAAATGAGGCAGCCTCTGATAAGAGTGAGGCTGGAGCAAAGGCAAAAGGTCTCCTGAAATACTTCAGATCATTCCAATGTATTGGAACAATGGCAGTCTTACTGGATACAATGCCTATTCTCAACAAGATGATCAATATTTTTCAGAGGAATGTATTAGACCCAAAATGCATCACTCCGATGATCAGGGCTTCGTTGGAGAGCTTGACTTGCATGAAAGATAACAACGAGGATAAGTTCTATTCTGCCTTGAAAGAAATTGATGAAAGTAGAATATATCAAGGATATTTTGTGTCAAAATCTGCCAGAGAAATCAATTCAATGGTTAATGCTAGAAATGCTTATTATGAAGCACTAGTGAAAAACTTGCAGGAAAGGTTTCCCAAAAAGAGCCTTGGAATTTTGGAGCGCTTGACATTTGTCTTTGATCCAGACATTGTTCCAAAGAGCAAAACAGATGTGCCAGGCCATGGCAAACAGGAGCTGACAAAGCTATTGGATTTTTATGAAGCAGAAAGGGAAAGTAAGGATGGACCTGTTTCAGGGCTCATAGATGCAGAACGCTGTAAAGGGGATTATCTGCAATTCAAATTCTTGCTGCAAAGCATGCAAGGGAGGAACATTTTTGATTGCATAATACTTACCATTCAACAATTCTCTGATGACTTCCCAGACTTTGCTGTTCTTGGGCAGATTTTAATGGCAGTTCCCTTAACAAGTGTCGAATGTGAGAGGGGTTTCAGTTTACAAAATTTACTGAGGAATAATTTGCAAAGTCGCCTCTCAGATTAACAAATGCACCGTCTAATGACAAACTTGAATGGGCCATCACTGGGTGAATTTAAATTTGAAGATGCCTTGGGGGTATTTAAGTCACAGAAGAAACGTTGGAAGTAGTCCCAATGCTGCTGGATTGCTATTTGACTATGCTAAATCAGTGAATAAACATGGAATGCTGAACTTGTAATTTTTAAAATTTTTTTTATTATACAAATTTACAAGATTTAATCATGCTTCATTTGCAATGAGACCCTCAAAACTTTCAGAGGACCCTTTCTTATCAGACCTAAGGGTCCCTGGAACCCCTAAGGCAGGGGTGTCAAACTCAAATTGGTCGGCGGGCCGCATTCCTTATCCTGCAGATGCCCGCGGGCTGCACCAATACTTTTTCATTGAAATTTGTGCTATCAGTCAATCCAAGCGGAAATTTCAAGAACAGGCGGCGGGTTGGATGAACCACCTCTGTGGGCCGGATCTGGCCCGCGGGCCGTATGTTTGACACCCCTGCCCTAAGGCAAGAAGATTAGCGCAACCCCTGATGAGGTTACGTTCTAACTATTAGGAGGGTGCAGTAGAATTCCCAGCCAAGGTCAAGTATTGTCCTGGTGGAAAATGGCTGGGTCCATTTTGGGCCTTGCTTCAGCACCATATCTTTAGATATGAGGCAATCCCTGCTTTTGAATATGGCTCCCTTGAGGGCAGTGCATCAATGACAAATACTGAAGAGGAAGATCTAATAAGTCATAGCGAAAAGCATGGTCATGCTCAAAGATATGGTGCTACAAGACAAAAACTGCCAGGCTAGTTATCAACAAAAACAAAATTGATCACCCCACACCTGCAGTTGTGGGGGAATGTTCAAATGTTCTTCCACAGGGGAATGTTCAAATGTTCTTTGATTATACAATACCTCCACAATTTAACCCTTTCAGACCTGAATTAAGGCTGCCATTGGAATAATCATTTTTTGCCTTTTATCAGCTTTTTCATGATTGTAATTTAAATTTTTATGCTTTATATGTAGTTTTCACAATTTGTATAAATTTACCATATCATACCATATATTATATATTAAACATTTAACTAAATAACTGAAGATTACAAAACTAATGGGTGAAAGAAGGCTTCTGATGGAACTGAGCCATGCATAATTGCACCCATTGTAGCATAATGTGGAGTGCAAAGTCACGAGAATCCTAAGAAATTGCCATGGACACAATGTATATGCAATGTCCATTGGAATGGATGCCAGGTTTGAAGGGGATAATGTAATACAATATGCCGAAATATCTTCCATTCTGCTCTCTTCAAGATCTGGCTATGGAAGTGCTGTTGTTGAGTTGTACCACATTCTTGAATCATGTCTTGCTCAAAAAGGGACAAGGAAACCGAGGCCAAAGTGAAGGGAAAACTGATCACTACTGCACAACAGTACCCTATCATTTGGAACCATCATATCTCAATGCATTATGATACGATTCGTGCTTCCAATGCATGGGCTGCCATTACCTGTCTGCAAAATGGAGGTAGAAGCTTACCATAAAATGTGGAATTCACTTCTCATGCAATTCCAAATACCCACTGTACCACTAGTGACTGAATCAAGGAACATCATCTGTGTATGTAAAACCTTTACTCTCCAGAAGCACTTAGAAATTTTATGAATATTTTGCGTGTCTTTCTACTTGTGTTTGAACATAGCCCGAGGTGACCAGCTTTATTAGAAGGTAGCTGGTTGGAATCAGTCCCGAGGAAGAAGAAGAAAAAGATATAGAAGAATGTAGAAACAAGTGAAAAAAAAAGAAAATGAATGATTTTGTCTTTTTCTGTTTGTGTTGGAATATAGCCAACTAGGAGACCACCTTCATGATGGCTGTCAGATAAATGAAGAGACAAGTGAAAAGGAAGAGGCAACAACAAAGAGAAAAAGAAGAGAAATATAAACAATAAAGATGAAGACAAAAAGGAGATTCTTTTTTGGTAAAGCATTTGCCACATTTGTTTGGTAAAGTAATTATCATAGTCTCTTTGCTATGTGATTTCATGAGATACCTTTCTTCTCGTATTCCCTTCTCAAGTGAACAAATTAAGCAATTCAGACAGCAAGGATGGTGACATTCTTCTTGGTGTGGCACTTGCCACACAAAAAGCAAAAGAGAAAAAGACACCAGCAATGGTGGATACATCCAATCAACCAGATAGGCTGCTTCTAGAAGAATATTCAATGCTCTATCCTGTGCTAAGACAGGATGAAAATCGCTTCACCCAATACTTCCAAACAATAAATGCTTCATTCCAGTCTGGTGGAAATCTTTCGGCATCACTTCCAGAAACTGCCAACTACAGCAATTGGTGAGATTCAATTAGAGATGCAACGATATTTTATCGATTATCGGTATCGGCCGATATTAAATGCATCCGATATATCGGCCTAAAACGATATATGACCTGCCGATAACCGATATTGAAATTACACCTGAAGTATGCCAAACGCGGCCACGTTTGGAGAAAATCATCAGCCACCAGTTCACGACGAATACATTATGGCCCAGTTGCCCTATTCTAATGAAGATGAATAGCTGAAACGGAGTTATTGTAGCTNGGCGTCAATGGTGCAACACCAGAGGCGAATCTCTGTGGTTGTCAATACGTCGGTGCAGTCCTAATTTATCAAAAATATTAATAATGTCATAATTTATATATGAATATTTATAATATAATGCATTACATAAATATCTTTGTAGATAAAAACTTCTGTAATATAATAAATATGACTGATTGCTTAGAAATTTTCCTGAAAAGCAGTTATGTTCGCATTTCATCTTCATGGCAAATTACCTGATGTGTTAACAATTTGTCAGTCATGTCTGTCTGGGTGTCCATTAGAGGTATGAAGGAGGGAACTTTGACATTCTTGACATTTTCTGAACTGAGTGCTACTTTGAAAAAAAAAGAAAAGAATTGCTATTCCACCATATTGCAAGTTCTAGGATGGAACATAAGAAATAAAATGCCTGATGCAAATCCAATGTAATATTTAAAAAATCCACATTGAGGAGCCTGGCTTCAGCATGAAGAAAACATTTCTTCTCACTATTGGAGAAATGGCAAAAGCATGAGGTGCACCACTGGTGCACCTCAAGCTTTCCCCATCAGACCTGGCCCCAAATAAAACTTAAAAGTGGAGGGGTTAATGCCTGAGGGTGGATTTTGAACAGAGAACAATCTGATAATGCAGCTTTATTCTGGGGTAAACACACATTTCCTGGAAATAAAGCAGTGTTATCAGATAATTCACTGTTCAAAATCTACCCTGAATGTGCAAATATAAATGTATATATAGATATCAGTATTGGTATCGGTTCTTTTCCAATATCGGAATTATCGGATATCGGCCAAAATTCAATATCGTTGCATCTCTAGATTCAATAGGCATCCACAAACACCTATGGTTACACTACACTTTCTGGCGATGGGAGACTATCAAAATGATTGGGGATAGCTTTTGGCTAGGTTACAGACCAGTTTCCATCATCTTCAGAAGTACTTTGGAAATCATCTACAAAGAGCTTGGGCTGATCCACATAAAGGATGAGGGAAATGTGGATCACTTCTGCCAAATAGTTCTGGAAGGAGAATCAATTTCCCAATAGTCTTGTAGCTCTGGATGGGAAGCACATCAGATTGAAGTATCCCCGCAAAGAAAGCAGGGCATATTTCAACTACAAAGGTTACCCCTCAATAGTCCTGACGACATCATCAGATTCAAGATGATGATTTCTTTTCATTGACAAAAGATCATACAGGAGACTTGGTGACCCTGGGATCCTACAAAGCATCAACTTTTCTACTGCTTTATCAACTGCCAAATCCAAAACTCCCCCACCACAACCTCTGCTTGGATGCAAGGGTGACCTTCCACTCATGATTATTAGAGATGAAGCATTTCCTTTGAGGCCTGACCTCCAGTGCCCTTTTCCAAGGAAACAGCTTCTGCAGAAGTGGAAAATTTACAACTACTGTCTCTCGTGCATGTGGCTTTCGCATGTTTTGTTGCGAAGTGGAGAGTTTTCCATTGACCACTTGAAGTAGCTATCAGTGACAAGATTATTTTGGCATGCTGCACCCTCCATAATTTCACGATAAATTGTCAAGGGGTGGCTGGCATGCTCATGGAGACAAAACAGAGGGAAAAACAGAACCTCTTCCATCCACTTTCCAACCAATAGCAGGAATGCATGCCCAACACCCTGTAGTCACTGCAGTTGATAAGCAAGAGAAATATGTAAAATACTTCTCCTGCCAACTCACTTCCATGGCAGTGGGGAATTATTCATCGAGCAGAAAAAAATTTATCTGCTGTTGTTTGATGTTTGATGTGTATGTGCAGGCTTGAGAAGAAAAAATTAATATTTCAAAAACATTTCTCTGAATTTTTTTCTTTATGTAGCTGGGTGCATTGGGCTCTATGTTGACAGATTAAAAAAAAAAACGTTTTGACAAAAATGTGTTTATATTTTTATCTTTATATGTAGCCTTAGCCTTAGCTGGAAATTCTACTCCATCCAATTAAGAGAAAATAAATACTGCTTCATCTGATTATGACTTTTCCCCTAAATTTATTTATCATGCATGGAAAGAAGTATGGGGCAAAGATTGCCCTTATATTAACCATAAGCTAGTGGGTAGAAGCTACTCCTGAAGATGGATGAAACCCATGGGATAATTACAGCAGTATGCATTAGTAAAGGGTAATTATGTTGAATAGGTGGAAGTGGAGTAAAACTCTGAAGTTCACTAGTACATGAGATGTTCTGGAAATTCCAGGAATTTTTATATCCTTTTTTGTAAATGACTTACCTTTCATTTCCCCCTTGTTATTAACAATCACACCAGCATTGTCTTCAAAATAGATGAAGAGTCCATCCTTCCTTCTGAAAGGCTTCCTCTGTCGAATCACCACAGCTTGCAACACTGTATAAAAACAGGACTTGTTTAGAAGAATACTTCAACCCAAATTAAAACTGAAAGTCAAAATCATGGTGAAGCCATTTCCTGTGTAGCAAGACAGCAGTAACTGCTTTTGAGCATTACACAATGGAGACTTGAAGTGATCAAAGGCTTCACCATATGTCTCTTTGATTGAGATGATACATCTCGAAACCATCCAGTTAAAAAAAAATATCAGCTTCAAGTAACTGGATGGGGTGGCAAATCCTAGCAGATACTTGTGCCCAGTGAACATAACACAAAATACTTATTGAAACAGCCCTCAATGTGGACCTCATCTGAAAACCACTATACAGAAAAACATTCAGATCTATTCAAGCCAACTACTCTGTGCATCCTTACAAAGTGCAGATGCTTCCCTCTTTGATGTCTCATCTTTGGTTGAGGTGGTCATATTGAGTACCTGAAGTGAAGTTTTCTGCTGTCTTTTTTCCTTTGTAAATGCACTTCCAAAAAATAATGATAGCTCCTAAATCCATTGAACCATTTTGTTTCTATTTTAATTTAAACGTGTTCAATTACTTAGTGCCTACCCTGTATTCTTGAAAGTGGGTCCCCCTAACCCCCTATTTCCCATAGGCCATGGGTTTTACCAGCTGCAGTGTTTTTCGGGTACGTAACCTCCGCAGTTGGCGAGGGATTACTGTATGTTTGTCAGGGCAATTGAGGCGCCAAATGTTTGACAAGCCTCTTCTGGTTCCAAGGTTTCCTACAATAGGAAAATGGAACAAAATTCATCCTAGTTAGTTTTAGAGACAGCTGAAATCTTCACAACAATCTTCAACTCTCTAGGTGCAATAGTTACAAATATAGCATACTTGGTTAGTAGGTCTAGCTCAGCAGTCACCTGACTTTTCTGAACAGGTTCCATGAGAAGATGCAAAGGGTGATCACTAAGTTTCTGCATACCATTAAAAAAAAAAGTATTAAAGGTGGGATGTAAATAAAAACTAGTTATCAGCCAGGCCTGTTCTATTCCTCAAAATATTCCCTGTGCACTGCTGCCATCTGGAATGAAAAAACAGTCAAAGGAATGACAGCATTCTTCATCTCCTAGACCAAAGAAGTTCAAATCTCAAGCATCCACCAAAAAGGTCAGGTTTAGTTTTTTTTTTTCTGGAGCCAAGAATGGTTCAATACTAATGGAGTTTTTGGAACCTAACAAAACAATCAATGCCATTAGATCTCACCATACACTACACAAATTCAAGAAGGAATTGAGAAGGTCACCCAAAATGAAGGACACTGATGTGTGCCTGATGCATGACAATGCTCACTCATGTAAAGGCATTCAAGGTTCCACAGTTCCATCGCTCACTTTTAGTGGACTGTAATGACCCACCACCTTATAGTCTAGACCTTTCACCCTCGGATGTTCTGGTCTGGACTGGTGCAGGCACATCTTCAAGAAGTGCATTTTTCTGGAAGTTTTATTCCTTCAAACTGGTGCAACCCAATGGCTTCATCAACAAGATAAAGAATTCTATCAAGTGGGGCAAATACTCCCCCCCTGCAGATAGCAGAACCACATTGATGTGAATAGGGAATATTTTGGGGAATAGAACAGGGCTAGCAGCTTATATGTACCAATTTGTACTTACATCCCACTAATAATACTAATAAAAAAATGTGTGGAGAAACTTATTGATTACTCCTCATATATTTCCTAAATATATAAATTATAAGATCACAGAAATCAACTTTACCTTTCTTCCTCAGTTCTGGTTTTCCCTTTTTCACAGTGGCTACAACGATGTCCCCACTGCCAGCTGCAGGCAGACGATTCAATCTTCCCCCGATGCCAAAGACAGCAATGATGTACAAGTTCTTAGCACCTGAAAAAAGCCATGGAAAAAAATAGGAAATTACCTGAGGAAACATGTAGATATCATATCAATTCACCACTGGCCAAGCATTAGGAGGCATGATCAGTGACATTCTTGTTTCTTCCTTGCCAAGCCACCTTAACCCTTTCAGACCTGGTGTCCATTCCAATGGACGTTGGATTTACATTGTGTCTTATGGCAATTTCTTGGAATTCTCATAACTTTGCCCTCCATGTTATGTTACAATGGGCGCAATTATGCATGGCTCAGTTCCATCAGAGGCCTTCTTTCAACCATTATTTTTGTAATCTTTAGCTATTTAATTAAATGTATAATATGGTATGATATGGTCATACCATATTACACATTTATACAATATATACAATACAAGAAAACTACATATTAAGCACGAAAATTTCAATTATAATCACGAAAGAGCTTGAAAAGCAAAAAAATTATATTATTCCAATAACGGCCTTAATTCAGGTCTGAAAGGTCCATGTGAATTTATGGTCCTGGGTTCCCATGAGGACTTACAGGGGAAAATGTACATATACAGTGGCCCCTAAAAAAGGGCACTCTTTTCAGTGTGCATTTTAGGTGTGATGTTTTCAAGGATATTTTTTATGGTTACATGTAATGGAAAGAAGAAAGACTTTGCTACAAAATGCTTTTTTCAGACTCAAATCAGTTAAAGGGTGACTTAGAAAAAATTACTGAATTTTGGTTATGAAAAATTGGCATTGCACTCACCAGCTTGACCCAACATCCACTTGATGTCCTGACATTGCAAGAAAGATTGGATGTGCATGCCACTGTATGCAGTCAGTGAGTGCAATGGCGATTTTCGGAACCGAAATTCAATAATTTTTTTCTAAGTCACCCTTTAAGATATTCCAAGTCTGAAAAAAGCATTTTGTAACTAGGTCTTTCTTCTTTCCATCACATGTAACCAGAAAAAATATCCTTGAGAGCATCACACTTAAAATGCATGCTGAAAAGAGTGCCCCCCCCTTTTTTTTGAACCCAGGTATATGCAAACATTTTCAAAACCTCTTGTCCCAATTTAACAGGGTTGCAGTTTGAGCAGGACCAGAGGCATCTTCTAGCATTTGTGATATTGGGCAATGGACTAAGGTTCAGGAAGGGGATAAACCAAGTCTTTCATGGTGAAGATTCATGATGCAATCCATTCACCTTGCACGAGCCAATTGACCTGCTGGTCTCTTTAGATTGGAGGACTTTCTTTGGGAATCTCTCAGAAGCCAGGTGGGAGACGTGTCTAAACCAATTGGCTTGAGGTCCCTTGGTCTGAAGAAATAGCTGTTCAATGAGTAGGTTCTCAAGGACTGGGCAGCACCAAATATCTTACTCAGAATGACACCAGTACTTTCCATGAGAACCTCTTTGAGGCAGCATCTATCCATGACCCAATCCTTTTGATCTTAACCCAAAGTTCAACAAGTGAGGTATAGAGGAATATACAGGGTTGGGCCAAAAAAAAAAGGACTGTTTTTAACGATACACTATTCTGCACTCAATGCATACATTTTAATGTAGTTTGCAGCATTTGAAAGGGGAATGATTAAGCTTTAACATAGTGTACTTACATTTCAAATATTTACAGCAGTTTCAGAAATTCTGAAGTTCATATGAACTACAAACAGAAAGTGCATGGTTTTTGTAGCAGTGGGGGATGGACAGGTGGCGGCTTAAGGTCACATGCCATCTGTGTCCGAAATGCAGGGCAACACTCTTTTTTTGCTGTTCATATGAGCTCCCAAATTTCTAAAACTGTCAAATAAATTTGAAATATAAGTAAACCATTTTAAAGCTTATACATTCCACTTTCAAATGCTGCAAACCAAATCAAAATATATGCAGTGAGTGAAGTGTAGGGTATCATTGAAAACTGTATTTTCTTTTTGCCCACCCTGTACAAATCCCTCACCATTACTATATAATTTCCTCAAAATTTCTTTACCAGTATGGCTCTTCTATTAAGTGAAAATAGGCCTCTAGGGTCAACACTTTGGCTAACTCTGATTTCCAGTCCTGGTAAAAGAAGCAAAGCATTTTATTACAAATTCAATGTCACTGACCTGTGTTGTCTGCACAATTGATAACTGCACCAACAGGCAAACCCAAGGAAACACGGAACTTGGCCCCTGCGGACCCTCCACGACCTGCATGACCATAAAAATAAACCATTATGGGAATAAATTTTTTAAAAGAGGTCTCACTTTTTGTTACTTTGGGTAATCACAGCAACATCATAGGACACACACTGTAGTATGAGTCTCTTTTTTCCTCTCATAATTACAGGGACAAATTGATTTGCCAACTCAAGCCTGATCCAAGGCATATCATAAATTGCATTACACATGGCGAAGGTCCATGGTAATCAAGTTCAGTAATTGTGGGTCTTGTTGCTATGAAATCTTTGGTATTGGCAATGAGGAAATTCTGAATGGCAAAAGTAGCTGATATTTAAAGGAAAGCAGTCAATTATTCTCTTTAAAAAATGAAGCTAACAAACCTGTGTTACAAGTTACAGCATGCACAGCAACAAATTCAACAAATACTAATGAGCTAATATCTCATAACAAGAATGTAATTTATTGTGGTCTTGCAATTTTCTAATTGAGTACAGGGTGGTCCAAAAGTCTCCATACATAGGGAAAAGTAACACTTTTTAACAAAATGTAACTTTATTCACAAAATATGCTCTAAATGGTTGCCATTACTTTGAAAACACAAACAGATGTGACTCTCCCATTCATGGTGAACTTGCGTTAATACATCTGGTGTTATGCATTGTTAAAGTTACACTTTTTTAAAAAGTGTTACTTTTCCCTATGTATGGAGACTTTTGGACCACCCTATATATATACTTTCTCATATCAGGTCTTGTATGACATGAGGATTTTTGAAGGAAAGAGTTTCAAGCTTTCAAAAAATATAAACTCACCTCTGCTGGGAAAAATCTGCCAATGGGATATGTTCAGGCAAAATTTTTACTTGGCATACAACTGGTTCATGGTAACATTCACTGATATGGCTACTGAAATGACCCTTATGAATCGTACACTGTCTTCTAGACATGTACAGTAAAGATATTATCTAAATGTATGGGCAATATATGATACTACTACATGAGCCAATACATGAAATACAAATGGGATACACATTTCAACCAATACAAATGATTTTGGGTGACTAGTGCTTAACCATTGGATTTGTTTAACTGCATGAGGAGTGGGTTTTTTAACACTTGCTAGACCCCTTGTAATGAAAATATGGAGGGCAGGATAGCATCAGCCCTTAAATGTACAGGCATACTCCTCAAGGGGTTAACCATTTGACTGCTGAGGATTTAAATGCCCAGCCAACCTCTCCCTACCAAACAAGCCAGTGGAGGTTCATCATGCAAACACACCATATGGCGTGAACAGCAGTGAAAGGGTTAATATATTGCATGAGAAACTTGGAAAAGGAAAAAATCAAGAGCAGTTTACTGTATATAAAGTTCTACATCTCTATTGAGGCCTATAGAGACCCATGGAGGCCTATGAGAACCGTTTAAAGTCCTCTACTTTCTTATACATTTACATTAATAAATTCAAATAAGCAGTGTACAAAGGTGGCAAATTATTTGATGATGAAAGACATCCCTCATTATACTTCTGCTCTGCACATAGTTACAATCTCCTATTGTCAACCTCCTCCTCCTGACAAATCTCCCCAATCAACGTGCAACATGGAATGTAGGTCAACACTTTGTACCCTAGAGTCGTCATATATCCTACACCTATAGTGCACTCAAATAGAATATACTTCCACATATTTGCAGTTAAGGACAAAGGATGAGGTAAAGACAAAGACAAAAAAGAAAAGAAAATACACAAAAAAAAGGTAGGAAAAAAAGAAAGAAATATCAGTAAAAATCCCTTCTGCATCGTGTACTACTTTCACATCAACGAAATAGAAGCATATGCAATTGAGAAAAGTTGGCCGGGCATTCTATTCAAGTACAACAGTCATCGATGATATCGATCACTCCTGGAATTCCGACAATATCAAATAATTATCTTCGAACAATTACTCCATTTTTCCTCATGGGAATGTAATGAGTGACACAAACAGGCAATGGCTTGCACCATTCCATCTCTAGGAATCCACACCACATAAAATTGAAGGGTCAGCATAACAAGCAAATCAAAAGGCTTTCATGATACTCCTTTTACTTTCGAGTCATATTAATTAATTACTCAGGGGATGGGTACTTCAACAAATCACAATTTGTTGCTCCCGAACAGTAATTGCTCTTATCTGCCGATGTAAAGTTAAGGAATCCCTTCTGCAATCTTCATTCCTTTCCAGTTCAGCGCGAAGCGGGATGACATCATACCCTGATCCCATTCCATATTGGTATCTCATGTGGAAGTTCTAATCAACAAAATTCTTCAAAGGGATTAAGCACAGAACCTATGTTTATTCTTCCTATGCGATGACGAGAGTACAAAGGGAAAGATGTAAGATTTAGCTACAAAATACTTTTTTCAGATTTGATGCCAGGTTGAGTTGATGAGCGCAACGCTGACTTTTCATAACCGAAATTCAATCAATTTTTCCTAGGTCATCCTTTCAGATATTTCAAGTCTGAAAAAGCACATTTTGTAGCTGAATCTTTCTTCTTTCCATTACATGTAATGAGAAAAATATCCTTGAAAGCATTGCACCAAAAATGTGCATTGAAAATAGTGTAATTTTTTTTGGTCCACCCTGTAGTTTCATAAAGGTGGGAGTCAGTAATTCTGGTTAGTTCTACAGGTTTCTGATATTAAGAATTACACTTTCTTTAAAAATTATCTGAAAAAGATGAAACTAAATTCATTTTATTAATGGCAAAATTCTCCAGGATAGAAGGAGATATCCAGTATGGTTTCTAAATCGTGCAAAGCTCTTAATCCTATTACTTTTTTTTTTTAAGCACTTCTATATCTTGCAAATACTTTTGATATGTATTACCCCATATTGATATACAGTAAATTATAAAGGGATAGAATAGTGTGAAGCAGATGTTTCCTAAGAGTGACCATGGACTTAAGTGGTGTACTTTGCTCGTCACCCACTTAATTACAGCTATTTTTACAGATTTGGTGTATGTGTATGTCCTAAGCAAGGCTTCTGACTAAAGTTACCCCCAAATACTTTATTTGACCTACTTCTTGTAGAATTTCCTTATTAAAGGATAATTTTTACCCCACCTATTCAAATGCTTTTCTAACTTTGAATCACAATAAAGTGAGTTTTTTGAACATTTATTTTTTCCTGGTTTGCCTTAATCCATCTGCTCAGATTAAGTTTTTCTCTGCTTTAAAAATAACTCTAAAACATATTTCTCCATAGAAGAAAATATTTAAGTGATCTGCATATAATTTTAAGTCTTCTTCCATCAAAGACATGCCATTCACATATATGAGGCAAAGTAATGGACCTAGGACAGACCCTGAGGAACTCCCACATTGACCAATATTTTAATTCCATTAAATTCCATGAAATTCAAAATACTTGTGCCTATTATCCAAGTTACTTTTGAAAGCAGTCTTGCATTATTCCTTGGACTCCATGGTGGTAGAGTTTTATTTTAGAAGTATGTCATGGGAAACTGCATCGAATGCTTTCTTGAAGTCAATAAAGACTCCAATGCATTCCTTCATCAATCAGTTCTATCATTTTATTAATAAGCACATCCAGTGCTATACTAGTGCTTCAATTCTGTCTAAATTCATATTGTTCCTTATAGAAGTTCTGGTTTTCTAGAAGCCAATATTTTTTTAAATATAAGTTTCTCCTGGTTTCTTGTGCAAACTGACAAAATTGACACAGGTCTAACTATTGATGTCCACGGACTCACCATCATTAAATATGGTGCTAGTTGCTTGTTAGGTCCTTGCTAGATTGAAGCTTACAGGAACTGAAACAATTTTTCATATGCAGCGTTTACATATTTCATTCACAATATATACTTCCAGTTCTGATTTTTTTAAAACATTTCTTGCTACTAAAATCACAAGGGCTGAAAGCATTAAGGTACAATGGGCATCAAAAACCTACCTATGGATGGAAACTGAGTTCTGTTATAGTTGCAGGGGACCTCAAGGGGGTCTATAACGAAATGCCCAAAACAATAATGCCGACAGCCTAAAACAAAGTTTTAAGTTTAAACAAAGTTTTAACAAAGAATAGCGAAGGATAAAAATGTTGAACTGCCTAAATGTCTAATCTCTCAGTTCGCCAAACATTGAATACACCAATGGTAACATTATCTTTAAAAAAAATGGCAAAAATTCCAAAAACCCAGACGAGTAGGTGAATGCGAAGTCAAGACTGCCAGACAGGAAGATCCATATCAGACTGAGATTCCATCATACACTGATGGCGAGACCTGTTTTCTCACCTCTTTTCTTGCATGGTGTGGCAGTAGTCTTGCAATTGGAATGGAGTATGTGACTTCGGAGAAGTGAGATCGCCTAATGCTCATTCACAAATACATGTTTCAGAAAGATGAAGCAGTGAGGATGGTTACATATTGGAAATGTGCAGAAGTTGATTGGTGTGAGTGCAGTGACGGAAAGAACTTCCCTCCGCAAAGAACCCCCAATAGTTCATCCAGGTCATGCAGCGTGTGTGAGGCATATGGAACATGTGACATACCATTCTATTTGAGGGCCATCGCCCACAATGTGCGAATCTGAATTTGCAGAATGGCATATAGTTTCCTTGATCTCCCCACTCACACCTTTTTAAAACTCATAGTTCATGACATATGACTTTCTTAAAATGGAAAGTAGATTACTATGTGCCATTTAAGACAGAAATAAAATATCCCATTGGCATTTGGCATTTCAAGCATTCTACATATATGTAACTAGGCAAATATGAATTCGGTGAACTGGGAATCCGCATTTTGTCATACACCTACCTCAAGGAAGGCCTCTGGAACCTCTCACTGGAGTTCTCAGAACTACAAAACCAGATATGGATCATGCCTGACCCACTTTTCTTCACAAGCCTACACTTCCTCTACTCCACTGATAATGATGTAAGTTTCAATAGACACACAAATGGGTATGGTTGCTGGATACCAATAATACAGAGCCAGTAAATTCTGGAAGTGGGTAGTCCAGATGAGAAAAGCTGCTTGCTGCATGGAATTTGCTTGCAAGCTTTCAGTGTTCTGAAAATTACACCATCCTAAAGTTAATCCTTTCAAGATAAAAATCAGCCATTTTCTTACTGTTTCCCTTTCACATAGCCTGTAAGGGCCCTATAACTGCTGTTCAATAAATTAGAGCTGCAACAGTTCTCAGATTACGACTTATCTCTACAAACCAGAATCATACATCCTCCCATCCTCTACATCATGTAAGTCCAGGAAATAAGTATTCCAACATGGGCAACTTAAGGTGAACCTTCAGGTGCCTTTTGAACCACTAATTAATCAGTGTTCCCTAGATTCCTATTCCATTTTTTTTGTTTTGTTTGGCAGCATTATTTCTTCAAACTTTTTTTGTGATAATTTTGCATATATCTTTTTTGTGCCCTTACTCTGCAAGACCCTGCAATGCAAGGTGCATTGTGCTTTCCTAGCTTTTAATAATACTTTCATATTTCTTTCCTGACAGGAATACATATAGATCACTGCCATAATTATTACAAGATCCCAATCAATGTATGAGCAGAGGTATGATCCTGTTAGGGGGGTACTGCTGCTTACACTCAGAGGATAAACAAGGCTCCAGGTATTAAGCATGAGGTGTAGCTTCACTGAGCGATGGGGGGGGGGGGGGGGAATGAATGAAACCGCGAACTGCAGTGAGCAGAGCGTGCACACCCTCATCCCATCACATCAGTGGTAACAATCGCAAGATGTAAAATGCATATATCGTCATATGCCTTATTTTAAGGCAAAAAAGAAAGGGCACAACGACGCAACAAAGAATATGGTTTGCTCTTACAATAAACGATTGAGTCAGGTTTGTATATGTTCGAACATGTTAGCTGGTTTAGGAAACAAGGAATGGAATGGTATGGGAACAATGGGAACGGCGGCACCACCAGTCCACCGCCATCGAAAGTTCAACACAAAGTTGAAATATACCACTATCAACGTTTTAAGCTTAGTTCTTAAGGAATAAAGGTGACAAACCTCTTTTGGACATGACGAGCTCAAGTCAATGGGGGAGATTGAAAGCACGGAAGGAGCAGAAAAGGTGGAAGCCGGCAGTGATGCTTAAAAGTACAAGCAATATGCCAGATTACATGTCTTAGCCTAACTAAAGTTATTTATTTATTTTCATGGGAATATAAAACTTTGCTGTTCTCCATAATAAATTTGGGATGGAAAAAGTATTCCAAATTAGTGCTCTCTATTGGCCAACGTTGCCTATTCCGTAAGTTCGTAGAGAAGAATTCTGCTACGGCAATTGCATGTTCGCAGTGGTTCGCACACGTTGTAGTTGTCTCCACTGTAGCGCTGCTGTGAAGATGGATGCTCTCTTGGGCAATGGTGTGGTAGTGTTTTTCACTCGAGTCAGACAATTTTTTACTTGCCTCGGACACCTGTGCATGGGATGTTCCTCATGCACGAGTGTCTGAGTCAAGTGAAAAATTGATTAGCTCAAGTGAGAAACAGTCTTCGTTCATAAATCAACTTTCCATTCGTAAAGCGAATAGCAAATGAATTCGTATCTCCTTTAACATGGGTTCATTTGGCCTAACGTCACATCTTTCATGGGAGGTATACCTCACCATTTATGCACCATTAAAATAACATGTATCTTTGAAAACGTACAAAGTTAAAGGTTGGAATAATTTATTTGCCAATTGCAGTTAACCAAACGCGTTAGTTTAGCCAAGCGCGTGTTGTCATCGGATGAATGTCATCGTGTACGACCCCCCAGATAAGGCTAGACCAAGCTCAATGGGTTTGACATTAAACTGGTTGATGAGGAACATTCTAAATTTTGTCATATATCTTAAAGGTGAACAAAACAAACATATTTGCAAGTATGGCTGCAATGAGGAGTGTTATTCTCTCCCGGCTGATGATGGCTGCAGCACCAAAGCGATACCTACATCTAACGGTCGCACAAGCTGCAGACAAGATGATGGCAGACCCTGTGGAGCATGCTACAGGGAGGGAGAAAGTTGAATTGCTTGCCAAAGCTGCAGGCAACATGGATCCTTTTCAATTGAATGTTGTGAAGAGAGCTGCTGGCACCAAGGAAAATCCTACTATCATCCCTTCTCGATTGGACCGCCGCATTGTTGGATGTATCTGTGAAGAGGACCAAACGTACATTAACTGGATGTGGATTGACAAAAATTCCCCTAAGAGATGCGGATGTGGCTACTGGTTCAAAATGGTTGAGGGTGAACATCTCCCAGGAGAAGAACTAATTTTCCATCACTGAAGTCACATTGCACTGTACAGATTTTGTTTGTAGATGTTATTTGCGTAGGGAGTCTATCAGGATGAGTAACAAAATTTCTCATTAAGATTGCATTTGTGTCAAGCTTATTGGTATTGGTAGCAGACCAACAGCTGTTCCAAAAGTTCAGTAAAGTCATTATTCATAATTTCAACCCAGAGTTTTGTTATTCCTATATGCATTTTTTGTTACAACTTTCCTGTCTTCATAAATGTCTCATTTCATAACCTTCATGATTGTTTAATGGAATATACTGCTACTTTGCTCTTAGGAACTTTATCTTCCTACTTTAAAAAACCTCATGGTGAACTTGTTTTTGACTTGAGAAACTTTTACCCCAAAACTTTCTAATTAATTATTTTTGAACTTGAGAAGCCTCATATAGGAGCACTGTAGACTGGCATGCATGTTACCTTTTGGTGACTTGAAGGTCACATTCTTTCCATTCATGCTCATCCCATTTTTACCTGAATTAATGAAGGTGACATGATACTGAATATCAGTTATCTCTACTGAACTTTCGGCATCTATCAGCAGTTGAGAAGTGCTGGCATATCTTCTTTCAAGCAGGGTATACATGTCAATAACAAAAGGAGGACAGATTCTCTCAAGGTTGGAACTATCTAGTTACTTGTAATTGGTTCAGACTATTGTTGTACATTCTTAACACTAGAAGTACTGCAGCAGTCATTTTGACCACTATGTTAAAAATCATATAAAAGCATTATTTTGTAACATCTAATTTACTTTTTATGTTATTTGTGCACAACAGCACTAAATTAGAATTAAAAAAATGATCTGCTCGAAAATTGTAATGCTCAATGTGGAATGCTAAGAAGGACATTTGGAAATGTACAGTACTTTGTAGAGTCTAGGTTTTTATGGAATCAACATAGGCATTATACTCACTCTGCATGTGTGCGCAGCACTTGCTACACACTGCCTTCTCACACACAGCATAGCTGTGATGCATCTGGTTCCCCTCATCATGATCATAGTAATTTTCATCATTATTTAGGCCTATCTCTTTTTTAGTTTCAAGATTCAGCTTCATATAAGTCCTATAATAGCTGCAAGCATTGCAGTGCAGTATCACATTGTTTTTATTGTTTCCACTGCACACAATTTCACAGCAGATACACAGATACAACAGATAAATGCAGGAAAAATTAATCTAAACTTGTCTGAAAAAGTATCCTACTGTAGCACATACAAGTCATGTGTGTAGCTTTGAAGTTCAGCTTCAAGAAAAGGCACATTTTCACTGCAAGTTGGTCACAAGATTGCAGCACGTCAGTCATGTGATCACGGCAGGTCAGATGCAGACTCCCAGTAGCTTAGACAGTTGCTCACCAAGCCAAATACATTGATTTCTCCATGGTGATCAAAATGACAACTCTAGTACTTCTAGTTATAACATATCTCCATTGATTTTGCAACCCTAGGTCTACTGCCATTGATGTTGAATACTTGGATACAGGAAAATTAGAAAATGCACAGGCCCTTAGTTGTCAGACAAGTGGAGTAAGTTGCATTTAATAACAGCTAGCAGTCATTTTGACTGCTCTGGTACTTCAAGTGTTAGGGGCTCACTAATGCATCAATTGGGCACATGCATGTTAAGTTATGTCGAAATTCTAACCTTTAATTTTGCAATTTTTTTTTGGTTGAGTTCGATACTTTTTAGTTGACTTTGACACCTGGGCAAAAAGAAGATCAATATACAAGGGTTGGAGATGTGACAAAATGACAAGTTAATGGTAGAAGTACTGATGAAATCATTTTGACTGCTGATTTTTAGCAGGTTGACTGCCTTCAGGCACACCAGTGTGCCTCACTAAGTCCCTTTTCCTGCGCCATAGGACGCACTGGTGTACCCTGTGTTTCACCTTCTCCAAGGAATGTAAAAATTTATTTTGGCCCAGGAAAGTCACCAGGCCAATATGGCTATGGCAGTCAACATGTTAATGCACTTTGCTCATTTGGGAATTAAGGACCCCTGCAGTTTTTACTTTTCCTATCTAATGTCGACATTTTGAATGTGCCAAGTAACTTCTGGAAAAGCAAATAAAATGTAACAGAATAATAGTTTTATACTACATCTAATGCAGCAGTCAAATTGACTGCTTCAGTCCTTCTTTGTTGTAATTAAAACATAATAAACTCCAGCATAGTGGTTTCTGAGGGCATAGGAGCAGAAATACAATAAGTTCTTAGCAAGAAGGATCAATACCTGCTTATTTCTGGAGTTGTTACCAATTTCCTAGTTAAGAGTAAAACAAGCCCCCCTTGCAGGTTAGGCTGAGGAGTAATTTTGAAATGTTCTGACCCTCCACAGTCTCATTTACCAGGCAGCATCTCTATCAAGCTGCTCACTCATGGGATCTTACCCATCCATCCATCTACTTGGATTGGAGAGTACTATTATTGCATGTGAGTATCATCAGTTGATGAGCGTGACTCTTCTTGACTTCACCCTTGAAGATAGGAGCTGACATTCCATTTTTTTTTGTAGAGGACAGAGAACATTTGGAAAGGGACTGATGAGAGAGAATATATATTCATATTTGTTCTGGTACAAGTAAAAGTTCACACCTGGTGACAGTTCAGTTATCAGTTTGGCAATTAAACCTTTCCTTAGGTATTGGGCATAGAGAAGCCTACAAAAGACTGCAGATTAGTTCATAATGAAATTAGATGCTGTGGTAATCTCTACTGAATCCAGAAATGTTAAAATTGGCTTCTTAGATGATATGAGACTCATAATAAATGTGTACAATCCCACATGAAAATTTCATATATGGCCATATATTTAACCAGTCCAACATATACGGGGCATATATGACCATATAGTGCAATACATATATGAACATATGTGAAACATGTATGGGGTTTGACACAAGTCACATAAAATCATATAAGAGTGAAAATATATGACCCCATACATTTTCATATTTTGGCTCATTCATTTGCACCATATACTGTCCATATATGCCTTGTCATACCTATGTAGGGTAAGATTACCCGAAACATGTCGGCATCCAAAAAGGGTCCATAATCCATCAAATACTGTATGATCATATGCAAGTCACCATACTTAACTTGCAATCAACTCATTTTCAGTTGTTCATCGATCACAGTCAATTACTCCAAGAACTCATGTTTCATAGTGTTCAACATATGCACCCTTGTTAAAAGGTGAAAGTTTCAATATTATAGACTTGAACCTTCACAAGTATTTTCATCAGTAATGCTATTTCAAGACAAAACTTGGCTTTCTCATGTAGGAGTGTCTTCATTTTGACTGACAACTCAGAAGATAGATGGGAGCAGAAACTTTATTTCTTTCTGAAATTATATGACGAAGGAATTGTTCAATGAAGGCAAGGCACAGCATAGCATGGCATGTGCCCCAACTTTACAACAAAAAAACCCATTAATACAAAAGAAAGAAGCATGATAACAATGTCCCAGAGTTCCCATGCCCCCCCCTCCTCCCACACTTTTTTCGCTTATGCTACCTAGAGAGGGTAGGGCCCAGTTTAAAATCCTGACTGGAATTTTTCAGGTGAACTGAAGCTGTATATTCTGACCATTTCCAGCTAGCAAAGAGCTAAAAAATGGTAGATACAGGTTGTTTTACAGCTGGAAATTTACCATTAGAATTTTATACAGAGGACCCTCCAGTTGAAATGCAGCTGAATTTACAGTTGAAATTCACCTGCTTCTGTAGATGGACCTCCAGCAAGAATAACCAAAGAAAACATTCTCGTTCTACCAGTGTATTGCAATTAGGAACAATCTGGATCTGACTTTACTTTCCAGTTGCTACCCAGTTGGAATGGGTCTGAATTTCCAACAAGGATTTTCAGCTGGGGGGGTTCGAAATCAAACTTTTGGCAAATTACTTTAAGGGTTATGCATACTTAATATTTCATGTAAAATCTTGACCTTCAGAGGCATCTGAAGGTCAATTGCCCTCACATGTAACAACCTCATGTAGTGGCGTATTTTTAGGGAGGGGGCAGGGGAGTGTGGCTGCCCCCCCTGGCATCCCTGGGACAGGGCTTGGTGCCTCCACTCTGCTGCCCTGCCCCCCCTGACTCTTCAGCCAAAATACACCACTGACCTTTATGCTATGTTTTACTTATAACCATAAGACTTGTCTATGCATATTCACCACATATCAGGCATGATGCCATTTGCCCATCACACATAATATTGCAATGCAGGTAAAATATATTATGCACCATACAATGGTTAATATATGGATACATATATGGTGGTATATGGCAAATATATGATCATACATGACCATACAGAATCATACACCCTGTCATACATGGATTTTTCACGTGGGATGGATGGGTACAAAGTTGTTTTAAATGGTAATCAAGTGTCATTGGTCTTTGACCTGTAAATACAAATCTGAATTTAAATATGTGGAAATTGTGTTTGGCATTACTGCTAAAATTTAGAGTAAACAGATTGCCATAAAGCAGAATAAATTATCATTATCCATGGCCTAAATTAGGGTGAGGCTGGGTAAAAATAACTGGTAAAGTGTTAAAACTGCTTCCTCTTTCAAGAAATATGTAAGATGAAATTGTCATATTTGTGATTGTAACATGTTCTTCATACTTTCCCATGACTCATTTTGAACACACAATTCAAGGCTAAAAATCTGTTTACCATAATTGCATATACACTGAAGGTAAATATCTAAAAGGAATCCTAATTTTTGCTCTTCTTCTCAGATTTCATTTCTTATCCTGAATGAAGAACTTAAGAGCTGAGAAAAGTTCACCTCTGAAACTTGTGGTTTTTATATAGAACTTTTGATTTATGCAATGACTCAGCTCTCATTGTAGCATCTGTTGAGTGCCCTGTTGATTGCCCAATGGAAAGTTGAGTTATGACTTCTACCATGGGGTAAAAGTAACTAAAGTAACCATTGAATATTTTCAATGCTGCATATAATAAAAAAAAGAAGTTTCACTAAGGGTCACTTATACACAAGTAAGTTGTCTGCATATGGCACAAGTGAAAAGAAACAACATAATTGAGAACTGGCAATAGTGGAAACTCCAGGAAGAATGGACAAAAGTTGATGTCTTGAGAGAAACCTAACCCTGGGGGTGATCATATGATGATGATGATGAAATGGTTTATTTCAAATGGGAGGGGTAGTGCGAAAGCAAATTGATCTCCCGCATCAGGCATACAGATATGAATACAAAAGCAAAAATGGGTCAGGATAGGGAAAAAGAAAAAAACAGGTAAAAGCATGAGGATGTTATGGGCACAGAGAGGGGGGGAGCACTAATACGAAAAAAGGTAATAACAACATAAAACGGTAAAAGGTAAAAACAGCAAAAAATGGGGAACTGATACTGGATGGGTCACACAGCCTTGTTTAGTAATCTGGTCACACTGGGAATATTAGAGTCATAAAAACGTTTCGTGCAACATTTAATTTTGTACAGGAGTTTTGTCAAGTTTTGGCGAAGATTGTAGTTAGTTGGGGTCTGGTAGGGGGGTAGAACATTTCTAGTTTCTAGTGGACCCAAAGCCACTTCCATGAGATTCAGATACTGGAATTGATTTTGGTAATGCTGAAGGTGTGGTAAATGAGCCCAGAGGCACAAACTAAGGTGGATATGGAATGCTGTCTCAGCAGAACTTAACAGTTTCTTTTGGTTTTTCTTGGTCTTTAGTTAATGTTAAAAATCATTCTCTTTTGCCTTAATCTAATTGTGCAGTTATCTTGATGTCTGTGAATTTTCTAAAATGGAGTCTCAGCCTCAATTCAATCCAAGATGCTTCTGTAGTCTGTGATCTGAAAGTCATAAGTTGCTGTTTTGTTGGTTGCTCTGGATGACTCTGATTTTTTGTTTTTATAGCCAAGGCAAATAGGATTGCTGGGTTATAGATATTTAAAGAAGGAAAAAAAAGGGGAGAGGTAGACAAGCAGATTGAATGAGGTAGAGCTTCCACTCTATTTTCTATTTTTCTCCAAGCCTTTCCTAAAGGCATGAAAATCAGCATAGTGACTTTGAATTCTTTGACTTTATTAGCTCCTTTTGTCTTGGGTTTGGTCAAAATATTTTCAGTTTTGCCATAATTATCCAGCAAATGCAGGATATAGTAAAGTTTTCCTGTTTTCACCTTGGTGTTAGAGACACATTCTTTCACCCATTAGTTTTGTAATCTTCAGTTCTTTAATTAAATTTTAAATATATAATATATGGTATGATATGGTAAATTTATACAAAATATGAAAACTACATATAAAGCATGATAATTTCAATCTCAATCACGAATAAGCTAAAAAATGCAAAAAATGATATTATTCCAATGGCGGCCTTAATTCAAGTCTGAAAGGGTTAAAAAGAAGGATAAATTTACCATAATACTTAACCCATTTACACCCAAGTTCAGATATAAAGTTCAATTCAGCATGAGCATGCTCTGCAGGCTGATTTTAACCCTCTTTCCCCCCTCATGTTTTTTGAATTTATTATTTCACAAATAAGTTGTTTTAATCTGTACCGAATTTAATTTATTTTAATTATTTTCATTTTAACTCATTCAGGAAATATTTATTTAAAATTTAAAATGTTGTTTCAATCATATCTTCATCAATAATAATAACTCCAAAATGTTATGAAAGTTATTGGAAACTTTTCCATTTTTACACATCTTTTTACTATGGCTGACACAATAGACTGATGCATCGATACTACCATTGATGATTGGAGATATCTATGGTTTTTTCGACCATCATGATGTATCGGCAAAAGATTTTAAAGGGAAAATATCCCGTTGGATTGAGGCGTGTTAATACAGTCTGTCTGGGCGGGGAAAGGAAGAAGCGGCGTGACCCACATGGGCTTGCAATATCTTATCATAATTAAATTCTGGAAGTGTTGGGACTGATTATATGTAAGATGGAAGGGGAAAAAAAACATGTCAGATAGGAGACAGGAAGTGGGAAAGGAGATGGGGGGAAGATCAAGAAGAATTTTTTTCTTTTTAGTTTCAGTCTTCGGCTCAATCTCATCAGGTGCAAGCTGCAGAAGTGGACTGTTATTATACTCCCTTGATTTCAAAACGTACATTGGTTAATTCCCTCTCAATATTCCTGTCTTTCTCTTTTAGTATGCAGGCTTAACTTTCTTGATTTATAACTTGCCCTGGGGCATTTTGTATCTACTTAAGGTGAACTCAAAGGGAATTTTTTACATGGACGTTGCTTATTCTAAGGCTGTACCGATATTTCAACAACCGCTGGTATGGCACCACTGGCAGATTTCCTATCTGCTGGTGCTGATATCCAAAGACCATGTAGAACGAAGAAAAGAGAAAAAAAAGTACATGAACTTGCTTGGCAGCTCAACGACAATAAGATAAAATTTGGGCTGCATCCATCCATCATGCATCCATCAATGAATGGAAGTCATCTTCAATAGTTGGAGGCATGGTAGGTTTCATTACTCCTTGCGAAGGTCACATATTCCCTCTGCACCCTCGATCACGAGTGAGATAATGAAAGACGGATAGAGGTTCACACTCCGATCGAGGCAGGAAACGATGGTAGACAAACCTCCGCCCAATTGCAACCAGAAAAGATAGAATCCTCCAGCGCCCCCCACCCCCCGATACATCGATGTTTTGAAACCTGCTATCGTGACAGCTCTGCTTTTTACACATCATGGATTGTTTGATCATCAAACTCTTGAATTAAGCAGAATTTTGTATTGCCTCCCTGTGGCATTAAAGGAGGAAAGCAAGTTGTAGCTGAAATACTTCCTCAGTTCCAATCTGGGTTATTGTTAATAACTAAAAACAAGTAATAGTTAAAGTAATATATTGAGAGAATGGTAAAAGATATAAAGAAATTGTTAAAACCAGTTCCTGAAAATCAGGTCCACTATATCTGCTGATTTTACCAAAATCAGATCTGGTTGAGGTCTCCATCTAGCTGATAGGCAGTGAAGTATTTCACATGCCATTCTGAACCACTTAAATTGTTCACCATCCCAATAAATTCCCTATGAGAACCCTACTCATGGGAATATTTTCAAGATTTTACTCAGGCCTGCGAGAGACAATCTTGAAAATAGGACACTGCCATGCTCATATCATTTACAGCAGGGGTTCTTAACCTTTTTGCACCCTGATCCTCAAATACAGTCATCTCTCTCTAACTCAAACCTCTTTTAACTCGAATTTCTCTCTAACTTGAAGGAACTATGTTTCTCTTTGAAAGTCCCATGAGGACAATTAATTTTTCCCCTCTGTCAACCAGTAATGGGTGTGCCCAGTCAACCATTTTTCTTGATCTATCGTTGGTCCATAGCTCAGTTCACTCATTTCTGGTGACCAATTGAGCCTGCCTAATCACATTTGTGTCATAGTTGCACCATTCATTGTCCCTTCATGGCACCAGTGGTGTACGAGCAGTTAATGGGCTGAGAAGGTTCCAAAAATCTGCATGAGATGGAGCCTAAGTGATCACAGTTGTGAGTCACTTCCCAGATTCTACTGAAATGAGTCACCTGTACATTTGACACAGTTTCTTAAGGTTTCCCACATTGATTTCAGAGGAATAAAGTGGTTTACCTCTAAATATTTCTTGGAAGATGTAACCCAGTCGGGGGATAAACCAGGAAATTCCAGCCCCCGAGGTTGATGGGAGGATACTCTGCACTTGAAATACTGAATACATGTATGTACAGCTTTGTAGCATATAGAATCTAAAAACCTCCATAACTCGAAGTCTCGTTAAATCGAATGTCCCTTGGACTTAGAGTTATCGAGAGTTGATTGTATTACCCAATGGACCCCCATGTTAAGAACCCCTGATTTACAGTGTTTGCTACAAAACAAAAGCATAATTTTCAACCATTTAAGTTTTGGGATGCAAGTAGATAATGGGCTATAGAGGCACTCACTCAACCACTTCTGATATTGAAAGTGGTTGACTGGATTGACCAAGATTTTCCACTTTGTAAGGGTTAACTGTTTGAGTGCCACCAACAATGGTTGCTAGGTCCTAGAAGTGGCAGATCTTTGTTTCAGAAGACAAAGACTATTGATGTGGGGTCAATTGTATCATCCCTGTGTCATGCCGTCTCTGTGAGAGTTCGCATAACAAAAGTGGCATCAGCCCAATTGACCGGTTGGCATTCTGCGGCACTTACTGGCCGTTAACCCAACGGCACTGAAACAGTTGAGGCCAAAGCAGGAGTTGCATGGTGTTATCTTGTGAAGATTCTTCTCCTATCTCTTTTCTAGTATGGCAAACTTCTGGCATAGCCTTTTGGTGCTCAATAATTTTGGGCCAATGGGTTTCTGTTTCCTGTGATTAGCTTATATCATGACTTTTGCAGTTCTCTTTTCATTTAACATGCCTCATGATTGTACATAAATATGCTCAATAATTTTTTGAAGTAATCATCTTTCTCCATTTATTGAGGAGTTACCATGGTAAAATTCAAATAAATTCATGGCCTTCTGTGTTTGTCTTCTTTCAGATTTCCCTGAAGATATAGCTGACATGGCATTGTTCATGACAGACTGGAATGCTCTTGACTCAGATAATTCAGACTCTCAAACTTACTACAGGTCTAGACCATACTTGTTTGGATGGATTTCATGGTGCTTTTTTTTTCTGTAAATGATCAACTTTCACATTTCTTTGGAATAGGAAAATTGAGCTTTATAATATGGCTTGGGGACCATCCACTGATGTTGGAACGAGCATACTTGCTGCTGCTCAATATGGTGGACCAGTAGCAGTTGCAAAAGTCTCATCACTACCTTCCAATAAGCCTGTCATATTCATTTATACTGCTTCAGGGAAGGAATTGGGTATCATCAAGGTAAGGATTGCTTCTTGAAGCAGCTTCATGATGCATCCCTTTAATTGCAATTGAGGAATTAGAGATAAAACTATGTATAGACCTGATGAGTGCTTCAAGACTCCTGTCTCATCTGATTCTTTAATTGAAAGTGCAACATGTTACATTTTTGTTACTTGGTATGCATTGAGAAGCTATATATGCTTTTAGATAGCTCTGCTCTCGTATTTTTATGTAAAAGTGAAATATCCTCATTGAGTGCCCATAGTGTCTTTAACTGGGATATTGGGAAGGTTTCTTCTTTGTTCCATGAGGTTTTATTGTTGTGAGCCTCATTTTCCATTATGTTCCTGCTTTCTTTAAAAAGGCTGCTGCTATTATTTGTTGCTAACCTCTAACTAATGCAATTCTTGATGCATTTGTCATAATGCAGGATGAGAATGTTTTTTTTAGAGTGTGACTCCAAAATGGAAAGTTTATAAATGTGAAAAGTGTCAACCCTGTAATTTCTGTTCTGTATCATGGTCCAATGGTCCCTGATGCAAAAATTTAGCTATTTGTGTAGGCTGTACCATGAACTTGGAAAGTCTAGCACTCCATGTGTTTTCATGAAAACAAGTGATTGTAATAATTCAAAGTATTTTGAAGAGATTCTTTGGGAATAAAGAGATGAGCATATGACAATTTTAGTTCTGGTAGCTACACTTTTAAAATGTAAGACCATGCCTGAGAGGTTGTGCCAAGAGCTACATTCATATGTTTCCAGTTATGAATCCAACTCACTAGTCTTATTCCCTCTCCATCATTGCTCCATTGTCATGGTTCAATCTTCATCATAGGTATTCTTGAGCCCTTAAATACAGAATGTAAATAATTTTTTGGGATTGTGACCCCCCAAAGCAAGCTAAATTATGTTAAAGGTACCTTTCTCACTAGAAAAAAATGCTGGGCCACCCATTATGAGACAGTTCTCAAGTGTTTCTCTTTGTCTTTTATGTTGTTCATAGGTAGGCACTAGGACCAAAAATAATGCTAGGAAGTATAACATCAGTGAATTTTGATGAGGGAAATATGAGAAAAGTCATGTTGGTGATAATAAAAAAAAATATTATTTCATTTTCCATTGGAATGGGACAGTTGATTGGTGTTACTTTTGCATCTTGATCTTTGCAAAGGAAGGCTCTGGGTCTTGTTTGCTGTTGCTTCTGAAAGTTATGGGAGAGGCAGAAGGTATGCAGAATAAAAACGAAGCACAGATTATGCCATTGGCTTCAATCCTGGTGGATGACCAGTGCTCCTTCAGGAGTTCATCATTATCATTTTTTATTATTTTCATGCTTAATTTATCAAAATGCAGTGGTATTGGAAAAATATTGAATTTCATTTTATATGAGGCTTGTAAGCCTGGTATATCCTATTGTTTTAATAAATCATAATGAGATTTCATGATCTAGACTCTTATGGAAAAAAAAAAAAGATCTACGAAGGAAACTACAGATATTTGTGTGTTTTTTTCAGTTGATTTTTTTCATTTTTCTTTTACTTGAATCTAAAATATGAGTATGGTCTATATGACCCAGGTGGAAGGGAGGATGGGCAGATTGTGACAAAATAGGATCAAGGGTAAGGGCAATGGTCAAAATGGGAGAGGGGTGTTGAACCCCTAAATCCCCCCCTCCCCCCTAGACCTGTATCTGATATGGAGACCATGTTGTCATCAAGTACAGGAGCCTGCTTCAGCAATAAACATTAAAATATATATATTTTATGTTGTTGCTAGAAGGAAGAGACTGTGTTCCCACTTACTTTTGGAAGCTTGTAGGAATGCCTCCCCACCTCCAAAACTGGATGTGCATGCCATCCCCTCTTACTTTCTTCTCTGATATTGGATGAAGTTGATGTGAATATGTTTTGTTAACCCATTTGCTGCCAAAGGTGACTTCCCAGCAAATAATTTTGAACACATAACGTTGACTCAATGTTGAATCAACATTGAATAAACGTTTGAAACGTTGGTGCAACGTACCCGAGTTTGCTGGGTTCAGTCGCCCATGGCTCTATTACCTCTTTGAAATTTAGGCAGGGAAAGGATTAATATGGAAAGTGATGACTTTATATATGGGGGAACCAGCTGGATAGTATTAAGTGAAAAAAAATTTTTGGAACTATGCCCACTTTTTCTCACTGTACAGAAAGAGTGAAATATCTGAAATCAATGGGAAATGTTGAAGGTGCTCTATGCAGCTGCCCTTCCTTATGGTTCACAGTTCCAACTGGTGTAACCACTAGTCCTTTGTCAGTTCCACATCACTGCCAACAGAAATAAATAAAAATTCTAAGGATAAGCCAACAACTACTATAATAATTAAATATACTATTGATTCCAGACATTTGACTCATACTGTATACTCATGCAAAGTTGTTTACAATCAGATTATCCATTTATGAATTGCCTTTCATTTTTCCTTTTTCCTGTTCCAAAAACAGTTTTTTATTATTATCCTTCCACGCATGTTCAATTTTATGTAACTGCTGAACCAATATTTCTCCTCTATTACTAATGAATGAAACTATCAGGGTAAAAATGCTTTAGACCAAGGGCCTCAAACTTGTGGCCCACAATTGCTCACAATGCAGCCTCTGGTGGGCCACATTAACACGTTGGCGACAATGCGTCCTGATGCCAGGATGCAGATTTTTTTTCAATGAATACCCTCTGGAACTGTTGAGAACGTTCCAGAAGATTATGATTTCATAGTTACTGATAAAAATTCCAAAAANCCACAAGTTTGAGGCCCTTGGTCTAAAGCATTTTTACCCTGATAGTTTCATTCATTAGTAATAGAGGAGAAATATTGGTTCAGCAGTTACATAAAATTGAACATGCGTGGAAGGATAATAATAAAAAACTGTTTTTGGAACAGGAAAAATAGGCTGGTCTTCAACGTGTTAAGAATGTTTGCAAACATACACTCAAATAGTATATAAGGTAATGGTAGATTATTCATTGTACAATTTTGTACTTTGCCCTACAGAGAGGTCTTGGCAATGTAGTCAGCACACCAAAACAAGTTTGAGTTCCCTGTTCTAGACATTGAACTTCTATCATGTAGATATGCTCTTGGAAGACCAATTTAATTACATATAATGAAATGTTCTGAGTGTGAGAAAGTGTCATGCACTGATGTGTTTTCTCTTCTTGCTCCCCTCTCCTCCCCATTTCATCAGTGGTCCAGTGGGAAATTACTCTCAATGGGCTGGTCCAACTGTGAGGAGCTCCTTTGCATTCAGGATGATGGGCATGTTCTCCTTCATGACCTTTTTGGCAACTACCTCTCCACCTTCTCCATGGGGAACGTATGTTTACTTCATATTCCTGTTAAGGTTAATCTGAAGAGATTTTCACTATCTTGATTGCTGTTTTGTGATCTTGGAATGTCCCTACCACTGATATGAATCATAAACATATGCTGGAGGGAAGATGTGCCATATTTTATGCAATTTCCATGTTTTGCTTTTTCTGGAGGTGAATGCTTTGAATCCTTTGTCTCTAGGCTTTGCACTGTTTTATCAAAGAAACAAGATAGTCATCATGAATGAGAGTGCAAAATATAGAACTATGTCACTCCTGAAACTGATTGAGTTCCACAAGGAACCCTTGACAGTCTTTCAGGAATTATTAAAAGTTATCAGTTTATTGAGCAAAATACCATTTCTGTTTGACAAGCACAACTAAAATTATTTATTGCATGCATCTCTGACTAATAGTGAAGTACCTCATGATTTTTAGTGATTATGGTAGATGACATTGCTGGTGGCAAAAAAAGATTAGTTGCATAAAGCCAACTCTCTCACCAACCCTGAAGGCGTCAAGAAAACCCAACAAGCTACCTTCCTCCAACGTTGGCATGATAAACCTCTGCATGGTCAGCATGCAAAGGTAATAGAAAAGACATGTGTAGACAAGAACTTCAGCTACCAATGGCTGATTAGAGCCGGTCTGAAAGGGGAAACAAAAGGAACAATCTTTGCCATGCAAGACCAAACCATCAGGACCAGGTATTATGAATGTCATGTCATGGGAAAGGAAGTGAATGACACCTGTCAAGCCTGTTAGCAACATCCAGAGACGATACACCACATTGTGAGTGGGTGTCCAGCACTAGCTGCAAACACCTATATAGAACGTCATGACAATGTGGGCAGGTATGTCCACTGGTGCCTCTGTAAGGACAGTGGACTGCCTGCCACCAAATGTTGGTACCAACATCAGCCAACCACAGTTCAAGAAAACGAGAAAGTTAAACTGCTATGGAATGTCCCAATTCAGACAGACCAGACGATCAGGGCCAATAAACCTGACATTGTAGCAGTCGATAAACTAACAAAGACCACCAAATTAATAGAGATCGGTGTCCCTGTGCATTCCAACCTCCAACAGAAAACCAGGGATAAAATGGATAAGTACGCTAATCTCAGAATTGAAGTGGAACAAATGTGGGGCACCAAGACCAGCATTGTCCCCATCATCGTTGGAGCAACAGGAGTGGTTCTCAAGGATCTCCAGTGCCATCTGAAGAAGTTAAATGCTCATCACTGAACCCAACTATCATACAAAAAAGCACAATCCTTGGTACAGCTCATCTCCTCCAACGAGTTCTTGAAAGACAATAGGGATGTAAGGCTTTGGGCTGAGGTCTAGCCCTCCTTCCATCTGACACATCTGGTGAAAAAGGCCATGGAAAACTACAATAATAATAATAACCTGAACACCCTCCAGCCCACCACATCAGTCAAGTGTACCCAAAAAAGAGGAGAAAATATCTGAAGAATCTTCAGTTGAAGGAATATCAGTTCCACCAAGGACTCTTGAGCCACCTTCAGAGCCAGATGTGCCATTAGGACTGAGAACCACCTTTGTCAACCATCTAGAAGATATGCAATGCATACAGATGTCTGATCGACCTCGACTAACACCATTAAAGCTCAGCCGCGCCATCTCCAAAGACATTGAGGAAATCAGCGAGATCATCAGCTCTTGCAATCTTGCAGACTGTGATCTGACTAAGCTAAACCACCATGCCTTTGCAGCTGCCATTACCATCCACCAGAAATGGCAACGACCAGAAAAGACAAGCCCTATACCTGAGAAGTGCCCTTCCTCAATTCCACCTTGGAAGAGGCGTCTCCCCAATTGGATCGGCACAGCAAGGCGAGACCTCTGCACCTTGCAAGAGATCAAGAAGGGAAACACAACCTGGAAAGTTAAGTTGACCTACAAGTGTCTGCACCCCAAATATTAGGTTGGCTAATAAGTCTTTGCGTTTTTTCTCGATCAACATTATTTTTATTTTCATTAATTCTGAGATACCTTCAGTCAATAATATATGCCCCATCACCATCCACAATCTGTCTCCATCTCATAGGCAGCGCGTGGATCCCATCCCTGTAGAAGCGGGCAGGCTTCGATTCGAAGAACTCGTGGTGGTCAGTCTCGAGTGCCTGTCAATCGTCGTAGCTCTTCCCATCCAAATGATGCTGCAGGGCACGGAAGAGATGGTAGTCGGAAGGGGCTATGTCAGGGGAATACGGAGGATGGGGGAGCAGCTCCCATCCCAACTCGATCAACTTTTGACGTGTCACTTTTGCCGTGTGTGGTCGTGCGTTGTCGTGCAGCATGTAGACTTTGTCGAGCCCTGGATGTCTGAGATCGAGAGCGGACTTGAGTATTTCCAGTTGAAGGCAGTAGGAGTTGGCAGTGATTGTCATATTGTTTGGGAGGAGCTCGTAGTGGATCACGCCGCGAACGTCCCACCAAACTGAAAGCAGTACCTTTTTCGGGTGAAGTTCGCCTTTCACGTCCAGTTCCAGCTGCTGTTGTGCATCTACCCACTGGCGCTTCCTACTATGGTTCACGTAGAGGACCCATTTCTCGTCTCCTGTAACCACTTGATCCAACCATTCGAAATGGCGAGATTTGCTCAGAAGAAGAGTTCAGGTCTCGGCGCGCAAATCGAGGTCTCTCTGGGTGAGATGGTGTGGCACCCAAGGTCCATATTTGTTCACTTTGCCGATTGAGTGCAGCTGTCTCTCCACTGTTCCATGGGTGCACCCGAGTGAGAAGGCCAAACAGCGAGTGGTTTGACGGGGGTTGGATTCCACCAGGCGACGCAACTCGTCCACATTACACTCGACTGGTCGTCGGGAACGGGGTCTGTCATCCAGCCTCATCAGCGGTCTCGCCTTGGCTAGCTTGGTCATGTACGTGCATGCGCCTCTCTGTTGGGGGAGTGGATAGTGGACTGTCTATAAGGACCGACGACGGCGACGACTCACAGGGACCCGCTTGAGATATCTGATACAGTGCCTGTGATAGGTCTTTTCTGGATCGTAATAGAATCTGTATTTTCGTTTTTTCCAATATCTTTTTTATTGACTCTTTATGTTATTGTAGATCTGATGTTGAGTCTTGGTAAAGCTTTGTAAAAGTTTTTCTGCGACTTTGCACTCTTCTAAAAGAAAAAAAACGCAAAGACTTATTAGCCAACCTAATACAAGATCACCTCTGATTCTGATCTCCTGACCACCATAGAAAATGTGAAGATGAAGATCCAAGCCTGGGCCCTGAGGATAAGGCAGTATGTGAGAAGGGCAATTACTTCCAGCATAACGAGCATTTTACAAACAACCAGAAGCTATTCTACCGGGAACTGAGAGCAAAACCCATAGAAGTGAAGAAGATTCCTGACAAGGCGGAATTGGAAGAATTCTGGTCGAACATCATGGAGTGCTCAGTGAGCCACAATGTCAATGCCACATGGCTCCAACGTCAGAGGGAGTTAACAGATATTCCTGATATGAGTGACCCCCAGAATACAACATCTGATCTGAAGAAGGGGCTCATACAAACAGCGAACTGGAAGAGCCCCTGACACGACCATCTTCTGAACATCTGGCTAAAACAATTAACGTCGCTTCATGAACAACTTGCCAGAGCAATGCAGAGAGTAGTGAGAACCCCTTGGAGGTGCCTGATTGGCTCACCACAGGATTCACCTACCTTCTGCCGAAAAGGCCGAAACCAAGCTACCTCGGAATTACAGGCCGATAACCTGCCTGCCAACCATCTACAAAGTGCTGTCTTCCATCCTAGCAGCACAAATCGAACAACACATCTCTGACAACATCATGTCGGAGGAACAAAAGGGGTGTTGGAAAGGATCATACAGCTGCAAGGAACAGGTTTTACTGAAGAGTATGGTCATGGATGATGCCAGAATCAGGAAGAAGAATCTCTCTATGGCATGGATTGACTATCAGAAGGCATATGACTCGGTGCCCCATTCATGGATCATCAAATGTCTCAGGATGTACAATATCAGCCCTGTGGTGGTCAACTTCCTCCAACAGACCATTCCACACTGGAAAACGGTCATGCTCCTCAAGGGACAAGACTCCACCCTGACAACCCGCGAGTTTCCATCAGACATGGGATCTTCCAGCGAGACATGCTGCCTCCTCTCCTCTTCTGTCTGGCTCTCAGCCCAATAAGTACCGAGCTGGCTCAGACTGACTGTGGTTACTACGTAGGTAAGGGGAAGAATGCAGACCATCGTGCGAACCACCTTCTCTACATGGGCAACCTGAAATGCCTTGAATGAGCAGCAGCTTGAAAAAACTACTCAACGTCATCAGCATCTTTTCCAAAGACATCTGCATGACATTCGGACTTGACAAGTGCGTAAAGCTCTCAGTCCACTGCAGAACCCTCACCCCTATGGGAGATATCACCACCACCAATGAGCAATTCCGAGAGCTTACGGCCCCTGACACCTATAAATACCCCGGTGTGGAAGAGAACTCTTCCGTGACTGCCAAGCACACGAAGCAGAGGCTGATGACTGAATACAAACGTAGCTGCCACCCCTGTCCCCAGCTATAGCTTCGGAGGTGTACTAGAGAACTAAGGCTAGTATGAGGACTAGGATGTGGCTCATCCCCTCTCATACCTTCTGTGCCGCCATTCACTGTGAAAGTACAGCAATAAACGGTTTCAGGATGACTCTTTGAGTCCCCTGCTATTCTATATTGCTTCCACTTACCATCTTGCTCTGAGACTGCGATGGGTACAACACCTGATCACCTGATGCAAGAGTACACCAGATCACACATATATGGTTCATGGATGACTTAAAGCTGTACTCCTCAAATGAGAAGGGCCTCTACCATGCTTTCACTCCTGTTTCACCAACATTGGAATAGGGTTTGGTTTAGACAAATGTGCCTTCTAGGAGATGAAGATGGGCAGGATAGTAGACATGGGCAAAGACACGAACCTGATTGATAGAACTGTCATCTGCCATCTCAGTGCAGAAGAGCCATACACCTACCTTGGTGTGCCAGAGCAGTCATCGCAGGAGGTGAGCACCATCAAATTGGCCCTCAGTAGGGAATACAAGTGTTGTCTAAGGTGGATCTGGAGCTCAGAGCTCTCTGCTGGCAACAAGGTGGCAGCCACCAACACCTTTGCAATCCCTGTCCTCGTCTACACCTTTGGTGCCCTTCATTGGACCATCAAAGAGCTGGAAGACTTGGATTGCACTACCAGGATCTGCATCATAGTCTGGACCCAAATCTTCCATTCTTGTCTATACCTTCCACTGGATGAGGGTGGGAGTGGCCTGCTGGGAGTAAGGCATCTGCACTCTGACTGTTTGACCATTGGAACTGCTGTTCGGCTGCTTACAAATGGAGACGACCCCCTCCTAAGCCTTATGATTACTCACAAGCATGTGGGTAGAGGATCTTTTCTCTTCCAAACTGCAGAAAGAGCGACAAGATCTCTTGGGCTGGTGCTGGATACTGGACCGCAACCAATGTTTGAGGACATTAATATCCAAGCCAATGATGAACATGATGCCACCATTCATACGGTCAATTGCCGCATGCATTTGGCAGAAATTCAACTGCTTCTGGAAGGCCATCTCCAGAAGACCTTACATGGCAAGTGTTTCGAGGCAATCCGTACCCATGGGCTATCTCTGGAGTTGTCCCATGCATGGCTAAGGTCACCTGTCCTATGCTCAGAGACAGAGGGGTTTTTGGCAGGAGCCCAGGATGATGTTTTACCCACACTGTGGTACTGAAAGTCCATCCTGAAGGAGGATCTGGGATCTATCACATGTCGGGCCTGTGGGACCCATCTGGAAACCCTGTTCCACCTGCTGTTGTTGGCCTGTCTCACCTATGCCCCCAAAGGCTACATCCACCACCATGATGCCACTCTATGTATATTACCACCTTTGGCATGCATATAGGATTGATAGAACACCTGCTCTCCCATATGCAGCAAAAGAAATCACTATCGTAGAGAATACCACCTGTCACATCTGGTGGAATTACAGCTTTCCCACGACGAGACAGCTGACGCCCACAAACCCAGACATTGTCCTGCTGGACAAGGAGGCAAGACAACTGTACATGATCGAGTTCTCCTGTCCAGGCGAGAAAAACATCAATGCAAAGAAAGAAGAAAAAAGGGCTAAATATTTAGACCTCATGTTCAAGCTTCAACAATCATATCCTAGTCACAATGTCGCACTCGTAGTCATAATTATCGGGTGTCTCAAAGGGATGAAGGACACAGTTCTGTCGGCACTGGAAAGAATTCCAGCTTGTCGGCCAGTAGCTCCATCTCTGGCCAAAAGTATGCAAAAACAAGTGATCCCAGGCTCTCTTTGTGTTCTTTGGACCCACTTGGCAGGCTAAAGGACCCTGGCTTACTGCCCTTGTTGGGGGTGTCAGGGTTTCTTTAACACCTGTCCGTCTGCCCCCAGGAATGACGGGGTGGACTGAAAGCCCTCATGGGAAGGTCCATTGCTGATGTAGGAAAGCAGGCCGGCAGGATATGTATTTTAAATGCATGTAACATATTATAATAATAAGAGAGTGTGGTCCTTGCAACTCTCTAGAATCCATAAGGTCATGGCTACTAATATGCTGGCAGTACCCATCCTGTCTTACAGTTTTTGGCATCCTTAAGTGGATCAGAACTGAGCTGAGGGACCTTGACATCGCCTCACTGCCAATTGCAGTCGCCACCCCAAGGTGTCAGTTCAGTGGATATGTCTCCCATGTCATCAGGGAGGCCAAGGGTTATTAAGCCTCAAGCATCTGCATGACGACTTAACCCTGGGAATGGCCTGAAGGGTGATTCAGTCTGAGGACCCACTGCTGAAGCTCATTTTCCATCATGAGCTCACAGGGAACAAAGCTTTCCAATGAAAGCTGCAAAGCGAGCAGTGCAATCCTTGTCTCTGTCTCTAGACATCGCTAGGACTGGCAGCACCTTTCAGGATCAAAGAACTGTCACTGGCCTCTGTCAGCACAGCAACAAAAAGTGCCCTGCAAGCCCATCTTTTGCTGGTCCATGAGGAAAAGACAATGCACGGAAGTTTCTTCCAAAATTTAAAAGACCTTTGTCTCTCCTCTACTCTCAGCCATGCTTGGCTGAAATCTGCTGGCCTTCAATCAGAGACAGAAGGATTTATTGCAGCTAGTCAGGATGGTGTAATCAGTACTCTCGATTACTGACGAACCATCTTTGGGGAAGACATTGATTCCACCTGTCAGGCATGTGGTAGAGCACCAGAGACTCTTTCCCACCTGTTGTCTAGCTGCCAACATTATGCAACTAATCTTTGCATCAGTCATCACAACAACGCTTGGCACATGCTTTATTACCATCCGAGGCACGCTTATGAAATCAACATAGATCCTATGATCCTATGGGTTCCTGCAGAAGTGGAGTCAGTGGTAGAATGAACCTGGGTGCTTGTTGCTCTCATATGAAGGGCCACAATAATTCCCTGTGGGGTGGGTGTGGTCAGGATGAAAGAGGATAACTGGTACATTCCACCAATCACAACGTGTTGAACAAATAATAATAAAAACGATAATCTATATTTGGACAGAAAGTAGTTATGATATCAACAAAGTTTACACAAAGGAATCAGCCTAGAGGCTGGTAGTACCCAGCAATGATAGAGGAGAGAAGGGAAAAAAAGAGAGGCACAGATGCAAGGTGGATCTCACTATGGGATCCAACTGGAAGTATGTACATTTATATACCTGTAAAAGACCTTTGTTAATAAAAGGCAAAAGCATGTTCACATATAGATAAAATTCCATTTGTATATTTTAATTTTTATTTACCATTTAAATTTATCTATTGACTTTCCATCCCTACCCAAGTTTTAGCCCAACTCAGGTACATACCAACTTTTTCTGTTTGCCATATTCTGAGGCAATGTTTGCCATTTAACACTGTTGCTATTTTGGGTAATATTGACTGGTAGCCAGTGTTGGGTGCATTACTTGGGAAGAGTAACTAGTTAAAAGTGCAAATATTCCATCCAAAAACACTTGAACTTGAAATATGGGGAGGTAGCTAGGGTATACCCACCTGCCGAGCCTAAAGGGAATTGGACAAAATTGAGGAGAGAGATGCCAACATTAGGCATACGAAGGATTTCCATGCATTTACTCTATCAAAACCAAACCAACGCCTATCATTCAGACCTAACGCTAGACCAAAGGTTGTATGTATGGAGTCAGGACATGATTGAGCTCATCTAGACATGCTTTCTTAAGTTAGATGCTGGGTTTTGCCGTTATCCACCAAATTTCATGCTAACCATAGGTCTGATGGACATGGTTCTCTTTTCCTGGGAAGTTAGATTGAATGCAATTGCTTAGTTTTTTTATTATAATCCCTAAATACAGGATGATCGGGTGCTATTTTATATTATATTGGTTGAGTTCGTACTGAATGACCCATCCATATAACTACCCTTTCTTCAGATTCGGTTAACCCAAGAATGCAACAATTCATGTATTCGGTTCCCACCCTGATCAGTTGAGAAAGTCAAGGTTGTGATGAGGCATGGGGTGCTTGAGCCTGCTCCTTATCAGTACTACACCCTGGTGTCAATTAGTCAGTCAGTGTACGTGAACCTCATTGTCAACCATGGCTACAACCTCATGCTATTGAAATTTTGCGGAGGTATATGGTGATATGGTTTGACACAAGAGACTTTAGATGCAATCATGCACTTGGAAAATATCATCAAACGTGAGGGTGCTGCAAAAACACACCAAACTCTGTTAACTGACTTTTTCAAGTGATTATGCTAAAATTAGTTAGTGTTGCAAGTTTTGTATTATTGTATTGTATTTACAATGTTGTAGAGCCTAGAATCTAAAAAACCTCTATAACTTGAATTTTCGTTGACTTGAATTTCCTTAGAGCTTTAAGTTATCAAGAGACCACTGTAGTTACTGTAACGCATTACTTTTACTTCGTTACTGCCCAACACTGCTGGTAGCATATGGCTGTTCAAATGATGAAGATAGCCATGATGAAGATAGGATATTGTACCACTGCAATGGTACAATATCCACTAGTTGTAGGCACTTCAATTCCAAGTAAGCTGTCATAATCTTGGATGGGTAAGATGGCAATTTCTGGATAATGTCCGACAATTACCAAAGCTTTGTGGGGGAACACCCTGCATGTGCCACTGGGGCCGTTCACAAATTTACGTAACGTGATTTTAAAACTTTTTTTACCCTCCCCCCCTGTAACACTCCATGATAAAAGCTTCAACCCCCTCCAAAAAATTACTTGGCAAAATATGAAATAATTTTTTTAATGATAAGATAAATACACAAGTAAAATGCATTTGAAAAAGAAATGCATTTATTAAACACTCATACTAACACTCTGGATTGAGAGATGATTAAATTGTTTTAAAAAATGAAAGGTAAAGTTTTTACTTTCATTCAGTTCCTTCTTCAAGGAAATAGTTTTCCATGTCTATGTTCATTTTGATTGATGGTGATCGCTAATTTGAGATTTTAAAAAATAATAATAAATGGAAAAGGGAAATATAGGGTAGTTTGGTGGAAATAGAGATTGTGATGCCGAGAGAGAGAGAGACGAATGAGGGCAATGACCAAAGGGTAACTGAGCCTGTTTGGTCTATCTGGGCAGGTCCAGGCATGAAACTGTGACTTGGCGAGTTTTGCAACAGGGGAGAGGGAAGTCAACAGACGTTCCCATGCTCCCAATGCCCACTCCACTGTTAGTATGTGGGTTGGTTCTTGTGTCGTGTGAGTGATTTGTACTAAACAATTACCCTTCTCATAAGAAATTCCAGTTGCATTATTTATTTATTTATTTATGAAAAAAACCTGTTGCATCACATTCGTGCAAACCCCCCCTCCCCCTGTAACAAATCGTAACACTTTGTTTGATCCCCCCCTCCCCCCCTTTGTGTTACATAATTTGTGAACAACCCCTTTGCAAAACACACACATATTGAAACGTTTAGGACAACTGAAACATTAGCCTGGTCTTGAGGAAGGTTTTGTTAAGCACTTAATGCTTAACAAAATGCTTAATGCACTATTAGTAAAGAAGTACAATAAGTTGCATGCATCTAGTCAATGCAATGAAGCTTTGTAGGCCTCTTCCTTTTGTGGAACTTCCACCATCAGCTCCTCTCATTGTTTTTCTTCAATAATTTTGCACCATGGCTACATTCCTCGTATTAACCCCTCAACTGTGAAGTTTTCACCAAATGCATTTTAACATTTGGGAGGTCAGGTGTCAGAAAGCATCTAACCTAGTTAATGTGTGCCTGGACACACCCCAGCATGTGTCCATTTTTGTAGTATGACGAAAGTATCACAAAAGAATATACACACTAATGATTGCATGGTCCACCCTCATGGTAATATTTTCTGAGGCAACTTGTCGTCCCCCCCCCCCCCCCCCCCCCCCCCCCCACCTTTATAAGAAAAACTGTGGCCCCCCCCCCCCCCCCCCCCAGATCAGGTATTGCCAAAGGAGCTTGGGAGAAAGAGTCACCATAGCAGTATACTAATATGGCACATTTGCTTTAATATCATTCCTGACTCTTCATGAGAAAACATTTTGAAATGCCTCTTGGTCTTAATAAAAATAATCATGGCCTCTCACTTCAGTTCTGTTTTCCAAAATGGGGTATTATCCTCTTATATTTCAAAGATGCCTGGTGATTGAGGGTAGGATATATTGAGACAGAGTTTACTACATGGTTGCTGTATGAGAATATAAATTTTCACCTTATCTTTAATAACAACTGAAATTGTAATAGGGTTTCCACTGTCCCTGGGGGCAATGCTGAATGAATTTTTTGTAACACTTTCTATGCTGTGCCTTTAAACTGAGAATATTGCTAGATTGCCAGTGTTTTTTAGGGGTTGTATAAAATTTGTGTACTATTTGAGGAAAAAAATAATGGGAATGAAATCCACTGAGTGCCAATCTCTGGACACTTTGTGGAGTTATTTGTGCATGACATTTCATATTTGAAAGTGTTAATGTAATATCAGAAGTGCCATACTGCCCCCTTCTGTGAATAAAGAGGCAGTATTAATCTACAGAAATTGTTGATTAATCCTTTTAAATTGGCACAAAGAAATGGAAGACATTCCACCCCCTTCTTGTTTATGCACGGCATGGTATTTATTTTGTATCGTTCTCATTCTGTTGGTTCTGTTCTGTTTGCTGACATATATTGGAATAATTGTGATTCTGGTTTTTCACTTTCTAATGAAGGAAGCAAAAGAGACAAAGATATTTGATGCGAAGGTATTTTTGAGCGCTCAAGGGACTGGAGTAGCTGTGATGACGACATGTCACCGGGTGTTTGTTGTGACTGACATCCGACAGTCCCATCGGGCAAAGCGTCTTGTTGAAATCCCTTCACGAGGTTGGCTTCTTTTTGTTCTCATCCTAACACATGCAGGTATAAATAAAGTGTTTGTGTTAACTATCATGGGCTATAATAATTGTTCTTCATCACAGGTACATTCTTGACATGGGCCATCTATGAGGCTGAGCGGTTCACCCGCATATTTGTCTCCATGCAAGACGGCCTTTATCGTCTTGACTTCATTGAATCTATCCACATGGTAATCAAATGATTTTGCAATGAGAGTAGTTTGATCCCAAAAAACAATTGGAAGTAGAAAATGGATTACTCATCATATTACATTATCATTTTATTATCCAATCAATTTAAAATGCATACCTCAAGTTTGAGAGTGAGGTTCTGCAATCTGCAGCCTGAACCTTGCTAATGGTAGGCCTCTTTAGTGTAGAGTGTCTGATAAGTCATTGACCCTTTTCAAATCATTATAACTTTTGTAGCACTCGTGATTACATTCCAGTTTTTGCACCATGTTACCCAATCACTGAGGTTTTTTTATGTATTATTTTTTGTTTTGTTTTGTTTTGTTTTGTTTTGTTTTGTTTTGTTTCAGAATTAAGTAATGATAGACTTGATTGTGAAGGTGCAGCATTGGTGGCAAAGTGTTAAAGGGGTGCACAGTGTAAAGGGTCATTCCACTTCCACAGGCTGCACTACAGACAGATGTTCCTGAACTTCGAGTGAACATTGCTTCCACTGTGGCAATGTTGTCAGCTTTTCTTGAGGTGGATGGTCGACCACATGTGGGTAAATCACATACTGACCCTTTAGTCATAAGCTTTTTGTGACAATTTTGTGTCTTTGCTAAGCATGGTGTGCACCCCTTTAACACTTCACCACCAATACGTCACCATCACAATCAAGCCCCACACTTCATAACAGGTAGCAATGCGTGCCCTGTCACTAACTGTCAGTTTGAAGTCCATCATTTCTGAATTCTGAAGCAAAATAAAACAAAAAAATATAAAAGAAACCTCAGTAATTGGGTAACATGATGCAAAAACTGCAACATAATCACATGATTGCTACAAAAGTTATAGCAATTTGAAAATGGTCAGTGACTTATCAGATACCCTATAGGTAGATGCAGCTGTTTCAAAATGAAAAATTGTATTTACAAGGTGTCCTAATTTCCCTGTACAAGCTTATATTGGAAATGAAGCATTCTCCTGAGTGCTTTCCCATACAGAAAGATCCTATGTAGCAATTATGTGCAGATATCTATGCCATGTATTTTTATATTTTTTCCACATTTTGATGAACCAATATATATGAGAGCATTGATGGTTAAAGCATATGACCCATGTGAGACTTATTCATGATGAAACATATCTAGGCAACATGTATATGTTCTACATACAAGAATCTCAAGTTTGGGGGAAGGGCTCCTGCATTTATGATAATGTACCTGATTGAGGTTATGAACTTTATATATGAGTATATGAGCAAAATTATCTTACAAATGTCCAAGAAAAATGTTAAATCTTGGCTTTTTTGTTAACCCATCAAGTTCATGTTCCGTTGCAGTAACTGTTCCAGCAAAATTTCCAGAGGTTAATGTGCCTGATTATGGCTCAGCTCTCAATTAAAAGATCCAAAGCAATTAGGGTGAAAGAAGAAGAATAGCATTCAAGATGAACAAGCTGATGATCACTAAATTAATATCCAATTTGCACCTGCATGGAGAATCATGCAGTGATTACTTTAATTATTTCATATTCATCGCATATACAGAGTGATCATAAAGTCCCAATCTATTTGATGGTTAAACTCAAAATTCTTACAAAAATGCATAATGTGCACTTCACATTGTCAATAAGGAACTAAATAAAACTGGTGATAGTAAATTTAGAATCAGTTCTAAATGTAAAAAATTTTTTCAATTGAAGTTCAAGATGATTTCAAATCGATACATAATTGGAATTGATCCGTTGTGTCCCTGAACATTCAGTATGTTATACATGTCAGGGATTATGGTGCTAACAGCAGAATAGATACAATCTCTTAAATCTTCAACATTGAGAACTTTTGTGCTGTAAACCTTTGACTTAACCAGTGGCGGCTCATCAGGGTAGGCAGTGCCTACCCAGTTTAAAGTCAGAGTTCTCAAATTAATATTTGCTTATTAATTCTTTGATTAGCACAGCTGGAAATACTTTTTTTCCATTGTGAGGCAAGAGCAAAACGAGATTATGTGTCCAGAGTAGGCACAGTGCTGCCTGCCTATGCTGGCTAGGCTCAAATTCCCACAAGTCCAATGCAGGAACAGGAGGAAGGAGAAATGGAAGAGAATCACAACACTGGAATGAGTGAGCGTATGCTTGCCTATGGTGTGCAGTTACTCCTTGCGCAGGAAGGAAGGTTGAGAATCGCTTGCTCACACCCTCTGCTCAGAAGCACGTGCTTTTAGAAGCCTCTGTGATTTTCACACCTGATCAGACCTATTCTACAGTATTATGCAGACTGAATAAGGAATCATTCCGAACAGGCTTCTGTCAGTCTCAGTTCCCTATTCCTACCCTGCATTCGTTGCTCTCTCTGGAAGAGGTACAGTTTCCAAGTGATATGTTTTAGACTGACAGTGCTTCACATCCCTGGGGTGTCTTCTAATGATGTAGTCAGGGCTGCCCAGAGGGGGGGGCAATTGGGGCAATCTGCCCCGGGCCCCTCGTATCAAGGGGTCCCAAGGGGGGCCTCCAAAAGGCCTCAAGGGGGCCCCCCCCCAAGGGGTCTCCTGTTTAGTTTTGCCCTGGACCCCTGGAAACTTCTGGGCAGCCCTGGATATAGTTGCATTCATTGAAGGTTTAAATCTTCGTCACTTTTCCCTTTAGATGCAAGTAATTTCTTTGATGGATAGTTCGGATTATGTTAGAATTGGATTTACAATTTTTGAATGCAAAAATCCTAAGCTTATGTCAAGCCTGTAGGGAAGGGGTGGGGAGGGGGGGGGGGTGACCCTCAGAAGAGACTGGAGAGGGGTGGGTGGGGGAGGACATGCTGAGCAAGGTTGAGAGAGGAGCAAATGTGCCTGCTACTATCATAGGAGGATGCTCCATTGGTCAATAGGGATAGAAATGGGGATCATATGGGCAGGGCCGCCCAGAGGTTTCCAGGGTCCTGGGGCAAAACTAAACCGTAGACCCCTTGAGGCCCTTTGGAGGCCCCCCTTGGGACCCCTTGATACGTGCCCAGGGCAGATTGCCTTGATTGCCCCCTCCCCCCTCCTCTGGGCAGCCCTGCATATGGGTGCAAAGGAATCATTGGGGGGGGGGACCACCCTCTCCTCCCACTTTTTTTTTTTTTGCACCACTGCTGCCTACCCAATTTTTTTACCCACGAGCCACAGGACTCAAGGAGTCAAAGGGGGTTAGCTCGGGATCTTGAAGCCCAAATTTCATTTCGCAAACTTTGTGCTAGATTATCTAATGAGAAGTTCCCTAACCATTGGATTGGCCAAGGATCAAACAGAATATTGCCTACCTGACATAACCCCCTTGGATTTTTTTGCAATGGGTACATTAAGTCAAAGGTTTACTGCACAATGATTCTCAATGCTGAAGATTAAGAGATCATATCTATGCTGCTGTTAACACTGTAACCCCTGACATGCTGAACATCCTGAATGTTCAGGGAAACAAGAGATCGGTTCCAGTTATGTATCGATTTGGAAGGTGGTCATGTGAAACATTAGTAAAAGAAAATGTTAATAACTGATTTTTACTTTACTATTACCAATTTTATTTAGTTCATTATTGACAATGTGATGTGCACATTATGAATTTTTGGACGAATTTTGAGTTTAAAAATAAAATAGATTGGGACCTTAAAATAGATTGGGACCCTGTATTGATAGTGCAAATTGCACAACTCAATGAACCCAAATTTCTAGTTGATGGTACAATTTTTTGTACTAAACTAAAATGAACCATTTTATTTACTTATTTCAGCATGTTTCATTTTCAGCACAATAGGGAGGGGTTTTTTGTATTTTTAATGTCATTGAAGTGAAAGATTTCAACCAATCCTCAACATTGTTGCTGAAGTCATTTTTGACATTAGGACAAAATTTGTGAGGATGACATGATATGTGTTTCATACTTGATCTGGTCATATCTCCAATCAGGCATGACATATTAGGTTGGCTAATAAGTATTTGCGTTTTTTCTCGATCAACAATATTTTTATTTTCATTAATTCTGAGATACCTTCAGTCAATAATATATGCCCCATCACCATCCACAATCTGTCTCCATCTCATAGGCAGCGCGTGGATCCCATCCATGTAGAAGCGGGCAGGCTTCGATTCAAAGAAGTCGCTGTGGTCAGTCTCGAGTGCCTGTCGATTGTTGTAGCTCTTCCATTCCAAATGATGCTGCAGGGCACAGAAGAGATGGTAGTCGGAAGGAGCTATGTCAGGGGAATACAGAGGATGGGGGAGCAGCTCCCATCCCAACTCGATCAGCTTTTGACGTGTGTGGTCGTGCGTTGTCGTGCAGCATGTAGACTTTGTCGAGCCCTGGACGTCTGAGATCGAGAGCGGACTTGAATCTTTCCAGTTGGAGGCAGTAGGAGTTGGCAGTGATTGTCATATTGTTTGGGAGGAGCTTGTAGTGGATCACGTCGCGAACGTCCCACCAAACCGAAAGCAGTACCTTTTTCGGGTGAAGTTCGCCTTTGACGTCCAGTTCCAGCTGCTGTTGTGCATCTACCCACTGGCACTTCCTACTATGGTTCACGTAGAGGACCCATTTCTCGTCCCCTGTAACCACTTGATCCAACTACAGTAGAACCTCGGTTATCCGGGCCTCGATTAACCGGTGATCGGATTATCCGTGCGTCTTTGTCGTCGACGTTTTTTTTTCGATACGGCCCGCTTTCGAGACGCGGTACGTATTTTATGAATAAATCGCATTTTAGTTAATATACCATAGCATTACATCGTTTTTTTTTCGAATTCTGGATTATCCGTGGTTTTCGATTATCCGGCGAAGGTCTCCCGGTCATTAGCCCGGATAATCGGAGTCTGTCTTCCACAGAGTAGTCGCCAGAGCGGAACCGATCGAACCAGTACATGCACGTGCGTGGAGAGACAACCCCCTCACCTATCACCTGACAGATATTCCTGGCTGCTGCCGCTGCTGAGTGTCCCTGGGCGAACTCATATCTGATACAGTGTTTTTTTTTTTTCGAACCTAATATATGCCCACCATTTGCAAAATAGACATACCAGAGTCATATAAATATCTTATCTGCTTCCCCATATCTTTTGCATACATGGTGGACACTAAGTAACTGAACATGTGTAAATTCGAATAGAAACAAAACGGTTCAATGGATCTAGGAGCAATTTTATTTTTTGGAAATACATTTACAAGAAAAGAAATGCAGCAGCAGATTTCGCTTCAGGTGCTCAATATGTCTGCTATCTTGGTTGATACAAATTTGAAGCCTTTTCAGCACATTGCGGCACACTCAGGAACATATACAAGGGGTGGTCAAAAAGTTCTGAGACCAAGGCACTTCCAGTTGCAATACACCATTCTTACTCTTATCATGGGAAGACAGATGTCTATGATGGTGACTGGTAAAATTTCATCTCATTTGTTGACTAAGGATAGCTTCTATGAATTTTTTTCAATGTGGTACCAAAGGGTCTGCTGAAGGGGTATTAAAATTGAGACAAATGCTGTGAGGAATTTTCTAACCTCTAAGGAGCTGACATACCAGCAGATCTTTCAGAGACTGAGAGGATAGTCCTACTGACCCTCCTCTAAAAGATCTGCTGGTAGGTCAGCTCCTTACGTACTTCCAAAGAATAAAAATAGCTTCTAGATCCATTGAACCGTTTTATTTCTATTTGAATTTAAACATGTTCAGTTACTTAGTGCCCACCCTGTACATGCCTTTCATAATATTCATAAAAGCCCCTGTCATATATGATCATATGCTCATTATTTCAATAAAAAAGATACCCAAGTACCACATAGGTGGTGGCCCACTTCCTACATTTGGGGAAGAGAGCTGGTGGCCCACCAACTTCACTGGGTTGTGGGTCACTAGGTACATGTCCCACTTGCCAGCACTGGCCAGCCACCTTCCGGGCCACTAAAGGGCCAGCACATTACCAGCTAGCTCATTTGTGGTGTACCACACAGCTGGGAAGGGTCCTAATGCCTCCATGTATATCCATTTCACCTATAAATTTTGGCTCTACAGGGTGCTTGAAAAGTTCAGTTGCAAATGTTTTGATGCATAACTTTTTTAAAGCAAGACAAACTCTCACCAAATTTTATATATGCATAAAAAACAGCAATATGAACAAATGATGTAAGTCACTTTTCAATATGGCCACCATTTTTGGCAATACAGGCCTTGATTCTCCTCGGAAAATTATTAATGATGGCCATGAGTTCCTCATTTATTTGACTCCAAGCTTTTTTCAGGGCCACTTTCAGCGAATCCACCGAGTCATATCTTGTAGCTGAAGCTCTTTTCTCCAAGATTGACCAGACAGAATAATCCATTGGATTGAGATCTGGAAAATTTAAAAGCCAAACATTTCGGTCCCACACCTGTGAAAAGAGCTCTTTACAAAGAGAAATCGTCGACTTTGTGGAATGCGCAGGTGCCATATCCTGTTGAAGAATCCATCTGTCATTTTTTTAATGTTTCCTTTCCCAGGGATGTAATACCTCCCATAAAATGATATCTTGGTAGGATTTGGCATTGATCTTGACTCCACAAAAACCAAAGGGGTCTTGCCATTTGAAGTGATTCCTGCCCAAACCATCACTGAAACTGGAAAATTACTGCGATTGACGATCTCTTGATTGGAATTAGTTGACGAACCTCTTGGCAACAATTGTTGATTGTTCTGATGGTTGTGGCTTCGTTCTATTGTGAAAATTTTTTCATCTGTAAAAGAATTGAAGAATAGCAGCCAGCAGCAATACTTTTTTGGATCTTTCATGCTTTCTTGAGCCTGTTGGCTTTCATCTTTTCAGTTAGGAAGTGGGCCTTTGTCAGCTGGTAAGAGTGATACCCTAGCTTATTTTTTACCATTTTGCGCACTGAAAAGTAATAGATTTTCATCTATTTTGCCATAGCCCACATTGACCATTGTGAATTTCATTTGATTTGTTTCTTGATGCGTTGTTGGTTGGCAGAAGTGCAAGCAGTGGTGGGTCTTCCTCTTTTTTTATGGTCAGATGTTGTGCCAAGCTCCTGATATCGTCTGATCGTTCTGGACACAGTCATGCTGTAAACACTGAGCTCTTTTGCAATTTCTGCTTGCTTCATTCTGCTCGTGAAAAGTTCTATTATTGCTTCTCGTTAAGTATACATCTAAAAAAATAAACATTATACATCTTTTGACAATTAAAACTAAATAAAGGAAGGGACAAGCTACAAAGGAAAATAAGATTTTAAAATTTAGTCACGAATTAAACAAGTTATAAACATTTAACCCTTTGCAGACCAACCTCATCTCCAGGATTAAATTTAATCAATATAAAACTGCAATCTGGTCCTATCTCATCCCCAGGATGAAAAAACTTACACACGATCTCTTAGGTCCTATATCATCTGTAGGATGCAACGCTATGTTTATTTAACATTGTTACTCACGTCCTTTATTGAAATCGTGCAGCTATATCAATAAAAAAAAAGAACAATGTAAAAAATTGGACTTTTTGGCCTGCAAAACTTAAAAATAAAAGGACTGCAAAGGGTTAAACTTTGCAGCTGAACTTTTCATGCACCCTGTAGAGTCTATTCAGAAGAGTACTAAGATGACCCACTGCTCTTTTATTCTGCATCCAATACGGACACCTGTAGGGGTGAGCAGAAGTCTATGAGTAGCAAGGCATATAATATACATTATATGATATTAGAGAGCTTAGTCTCTACCCTCTCCTAGTCCTGTGCACTTCTGAATTCCCTTACTTAACTTCAGCATTTAATAACTCCATGCTTTCCTAGTATCTGCTTATAAATTGCACATTAAAAGGAGGAAAAATGAGGAAGAAACACATTTGCTAAATCAGGAAGGCAGGTACTTCTTTGCATTTGTAGGATGTAGCAAACAGAGTACCATCTAGTGGGGTTTCTTGGTACTGCATCTAGGGGAGTGCCAGCTACATGCTCTACCAAAAGGGCCACAAAACAAAAGTATGGTGTTCTCCTTTTGCTGAAGGTAAAATCCCATCATTCTTAAGAAAGCAATCACTAGAATTTTTACTCTTTCCCTCTTGAGCTTGAGATAGTAATTTTTGCTGATTAGACTAGTTTTCCTATCAGCCCTTTGATTTTTGCAGACAATGGTAATAATGAAAATGGTAATAATAATGAAAAGTATTTTTTGTGTCCCTGATGCAGAACATTGATGGTGTGGATGATTCAAGAATTATCACTGATATCAGTATATCAGTGAATGGTGAGAATGGAGCTTTGTACTTTGACTCTGGCCACCTTTGGATGGGCTCTTCAGACTTCACCAAGAAATTTGCCCTTGTGCCCATTGATATTCCAGGAAAACCAAAGCAGATGGCTTGGTAAGGTCTTTCACTTATTTTCTTCAAACCACTCATTGGCTCTGAGTGGCTAACATGAATCTTTCTTGTATTCTGTCAGATCATTGCCAGAAACAAAGGGTTGAGGATGAGGTTTCTTCACCCTGTTTAATCATTATCAGACTGACAAAGTTGCCTGTGTGCTTATCCTTAATATCTAATACCGAGTACCTGTTGAAGTATTCATGCTGTCAGTCAGCAATTGCTGCCACAAGGTACCAGTCTGACTGTCAGACCCTTGTTCCAGGTATACCTGTGGATCTCCCTTTGCTGGAAGAAGGTGTTGATAACTGTCTGGCCATTGCCAGTAGTCTAGCAACTTTCTACCATTCTGTTCAGTTTGTCTTCTCCAAAATGATGTATTCTCCTCATAACTTTGGCTTTCAAAACTTCAGCATTGAATTCCCCCATCAATAAAAGGAAATAACCATTTGAGGACCCTTCCATCTCTGCAAAGCAGGGGTAGAAAAAGTTCTGTAACCTGGTTACCAGGTTACCGTGAAGGGTTGCAACCGATCGGGAAGGCAAGGCAGGGATAACAAATAAATAACTGAGAGATGGAAAGCGAGGGGGAAAGAAGAAAATAATGCGATAAGAAAGAGCGGGAAGATGAGAGATGGTCGGAGTGTTTGGTATGAGAGATGGTAATGAATTGAAAGAAGGTAAGTGACTGTTTTCGAAAAGATAGCGGAACCGGGAAGACATCTCCAAGCGACTGACCTCGGTAAGTTCACGGACGAGTACGTGGGTCACTCAGAAAGTTTTGAGATACGCAAAGAGAAATTTATGAAATTTCATTCCAACATCTACAACGTTTCGAAGTGCTCCTCGAAAGACTCCATACAGAATTTCACCCTGTAAAGCCATCTCTCAGAGCAACTACGCCATTCCTCTTTTGCCACCTCAGAAACTGCTTCCTCACAGGCAATGGCGGCATCTTCTGGACTTTGGAACCGCTTCCCTTGCAATTAATCGTTGACCCTCGTGAACAAAAGTCATCGCAAGGGTCCTAATAAGGCCTTTAGGACGGAAGGGTGACCAGGCGAACAAGAGTTTCTTCCTGTTAGTCCACAATCCTTGTTGCCTTGCTTGCTGGAGGAATTGTGATGCAGGAGGCCCCGGAGCCCAGGGCGTGGTCTTTTTTCGCACACTTTTTGTGAAACTTTGGGCAGGCACGGTGTGATGTACCACTCAGCATTCACTATTATTCAGTCCTCCGATAAAATTGTCGCCACACGACCACTGACAATAGAGAAAGTGGCAACCATCTTCTTCCCCGTACTTCACCTCTTCACCGTGGCGGGGATGTCGTCCTAATGGAACACCCAAACTGCATATTGCCCCTTTGTTGCCAAGTCTTACTGGTAAATCCATGGCATCTCACCATTGTCGATGTCAAAGCTTAATTTTGAGCGTTCTTCTTGAAAAGTTTAGAACATGTACTCACAATATTCCTCGCATACCCCTTTTTGCTCATCTGGCAAGTGGTGGGGGCCCCAACAGCAAGAGATTTTCCTAACTCGAAAAAATCTATGCAGGATTTCTGCAACATTCCCCAATCCAATGTTCAGGTACTCCTCAATATCATGGTGTATGCATATTCGATCTCCTCGAATCATAGCCTCCACTTTCTGGATGTTTTCTTCAATGAAAGCAGTTGCAAGTCTTCCACTGAGGGAATCATCTTCAATGCTGGTTCTTCCCCTCTTAAACTCGGCAAAGCAGGGCAAAAGTACGGCTATGGAAGATGCTCTGTCCCAAAACGTAATATGCAAAAGGGCAAGATACGGCACTTAATTTAAAGCACTTATCTGGTCATAGAGAATCCTGGCCCGGAAATACTCCCTGGTCAACTCCATGATGCTAAGAGAACGCCTACATTACTAACTTTTAAAAATTGCATAAAATCTTCTGGAATTATGTTGAAACTTGTTCTCAAGGGTTAGAAAATAACATTTTACAACCTGTTTAAATTAGTATTCTCTACGTCATCCCATTTTTGCACATCTCCAAACTTTCCGAGTGATCGTATATGGATTTTTTTTCCCGTCCCGAGCGCCTAGGCAGAAAGATCTCGTTATTACTCATTCCCTCGATCCTGGGGTTGTTGGTTCTCGCCCCAACGAGTAGGATAGAAGGTGAGAAGTAAGACACCTGTAACATTTGCCTGATCGTAATGAAGAGGCGGCCTTGTCATCGACATAAAAAAGGGATTACGATTTTGCTTGCGTATTTCACGAGGCGAGAGACACTTCACGAATTAGAATTAGATGGCTTCTTGCGCCTCGGAAACCTCTTCCTTTGCTCTTTTATCGATCGGTCGGCAGTCGGTCTCGGGTTACCTGGCTTTCCGTTGACAGATTAATTGATCCTTCGCGTCTCTTTTCAATTGACGTTATTTGACCCCAAAGTCGAAAGAATGCATTGGATGGACGTCTCTCTCCCTTATCATGACTATTATGCGACTATTAATGCCTAGTCCAAGAAAAACAACACGAGATGAGAGGGAGTTTCTCTCCCTCCGATCATTGGTCTGACCAGATTTCCAACTCTGGATGATTTGATTTTCCTCTAGCTCTCTCATACTCTTCAAGTGTCAGTCCATAACGCTGGAATGCAGTGGTCGGCAATTGAATTCCCCGGAGGGTGGGGGGGGGTTGGTTAAATGGCCAACATCCATCAAGTGTCATTAAAATAAAAATTTTAATGAACGTCTAAAGTGAAATATGCAGTCGAATATCTACAATCAGACCGTAATGTACGATATCACAACATTAGTAACAACAATCACATCAATAAACATTAATCGTCGCAATAGTCATGGCAGGCTATTAGGGAAACAGAGACACCCATCCAAATCAGGAAAATTTGATACGTAGCAAACGCGAACGCCACGGTTCAGTCTCATCCCTCACTTCTCGTACTAAATATTCCAATACAGAAATGAAAATAGCGATCGAATTGCTCCTCCGCAGGAAAACCTTTAAAGATCCTTTCGAATGACATTCAATTTTAATATTTAAAATGCCAAGAACTTCTCTGGGGACCATGCCCCTCTGTGCAATCCCCACTAGGGTAGCGAAGTTCGTGGACCTTTTTTTGTACTTGGAATGCTTGCGCCTTAAATCCGCATCGTGCTATTTTATGAAGATTGCAAGCCTACGTGACATTCCATCGATTTCAGATTGGCAAACCTTGCCAGAGCGGAAGTGAAAAAAGATGGCCGAGGATCCTGTGAGATAGCAGCGGATTGTGATAAATTCCCTGCGACCGAGGGTGAGAAGGCCGCATCCACCCACAAACGGCTGCAAAATGTTTGCAAGGACCAATTTGATGCTCAAATTGATCGACTGAAACGGTCTGCCCGAATGAGCTCGTCCAACGCGTTGAATGTTGACTTCAGCGTCACCTTCGATTCGTGTTCATCTGGCTTTAAATCGTTCCACCCGCTTGAATAACGCTCGTTTCTTTGAGCATTGGTCCTGATGAGCATTTTGCAGCCGTTTGTTCGTGGATGCGGCCCTCTCGCCCTCAGCCACAAGGAAATTTGTCACAGTCCGCTGCTCTTTCACAGGGTTCTCGCCCATCCAGTCCTTCATTTGCACATTCGCAATCATGCCAGGACATTGTTCACCTTTCCAGCACCACCTCTTATGCTCTTTATCTAACTGCCTGAAAATTATGCCATGAATCTTTATTCTGTTGAATCATTAGAAAGCTGAATGATTATTCTATACAGAGGCACTATCGCAATTTTAGCAAACTATTGGGAACCAGTGCTGGGGAGTGATGAAGGTAACCCACATTTTTGGCCCACCTTGTATATTTTTCATATTATTAGCATTAGTGGACAGGCATATTATGTGCTGACAACATAATTGTGGGTCAGTTAAGTATGGTATATGAAGTTCATTACACAAAGAAAGAGACACCTTACAATGCATGTACAGGAGAATTATAGAGAAAGCAGTCATTCTCTCTTGTGACTTGCCAAAAAGTGCCAGTATGTGGACAAGACAATTGATTCTCAGCAAATCAGGTGTTTTTATGATTCTTCCAGGTGTGGGACGAGAGCAGTAGTGCTTCACTTTGAGGGCCAACTTATTCTCATAGATACAACAAAGAAAACCTTGTCGTGAGTCAGAAGCAAAAAGAAACCAAAGAGGTGCAAGGCCCTTCTATGTATGCCAGTCTTTGAGGCAGTGTTAGAGTGTTTCCTGAACCTTCTCACATGTTAGTGTATGAAGAGAGATCCTGTCAAATTATAACTTCGGAAAATCATTCTTGCATCCTGAGTTGAAGAACCCTTGTCTGTATGCAATACTCATGCTGCTGATGAAGTTATGAACGAGAATGGCATGGATTGGTATAGATGGTTCTCTATCATGCATAACTTTTCCTAGGACTGGGCCACAAAACATTGAGACATCAGGCTTCCATCCCTGCTAGCTTGCCTGACTAATTAGGAGGGCCTTGCATCTCTTTGTCAACTATATTATTCATAGAGTTACCCTAGAAGTGCTATACCTTTTACATACTAAACTGGTGAGTTCTTAGTGAATCTTCTTCACTGACCTCCATATGTAAACTGGTCTGCATGTCATACAACAAAGACTCCGCACTTGAATAGTCAGAAAGGCTGTGTCTCCTATGGATGATATGCATTCTTCAGAAACATCTCTTTTCACTTCACAAAGGCAATTTTTAATTCCAAGATGAGACCTAAAAAAATGCATCAGTCTTTGAAATGCTCTAGTGCTTATGAGTTAGCAGTCAGCACAACAATCTTTTTCACATTTGCATCTATTTATCCTTTTAGCATCCTAAAGTTTTGTCCATTTATATGCAGCCCTCATATCTCTCCAGTAATTTAATAAGAGCAATTCAGATTTATTTATGGGCTGACACTGCAACACTGACAAGGATTGACATTTTTTACAACTTGTTTCCTTCTTCACATCAGAATCTGCTGAATCCACCCCCAAT